AACCCACCCCGAAGCCCTACCAAGAACATACCCGAAGCCGGACAGACACCCACCTGGAGCCCGAACAGTCCCCCACCCGGAGCCCGACCAGTCAAACACCCGGAGCCCGCCAGTTTAATAAACCGGAGCCCGCCAGTTGAGTGAACTGGAGCCCGCCAGTTGAGTGAACTGGAACCCGTCAGTTGAGTACCTGGAGCCCGCCCCGAGCCCTACCGAGAACCCACCCCGAGCCCTACCAAGAACCCACCCCGAGCCCTACAGAGAACCCAACCCCCCCGAGCCCTACCAAGAACCCACACCCCCCCGAGCCCTACCAAGAACCCACACCCCCCCGAGCCCTACCAAGAACCCACACCCCCCGGAGCCCTACCAAGAACCCACACCCCCCCGAGCCCTACCAAGAACCCACACCCCCCCCCGAGCCCTACCAAGAACCCACACCCCCCCGAGCCCTACCAAGAACCCACACCCCCCCGAGCCCTACCAAGAACCCCCCCCCCCCCCTACCAAGAGCCCTACCAAGAACCCACACCCCCCCGAGCCCTACCAAGAACCCACACCCCCCAAGCCCTACCAAGAACCCCACCCCCCCAAGCCCTACCAAGAACCCACACCCCCCAAGCCCTACCAAGACCCCACACCCCCCCAAGCCCTACCAAGAACCCACACCCCCCCCAAGCCCTACCAAGAACCCACACCCCCCCAAGCCCTACCAAGAACCCACACCCCCCCAAGCCCTACCAAGAACCCACACCCCCCCAAGCCCTACCAAGAACCCACACCCCCCCAAGTCCTACCAAGAACCCCCCCCCCCCCCTACCAAGAACCCCCCCCCCCCAGTCCTACCAAGAACCCACATCCCCCCAAGCCCTACCAAGAACCCACACCCCCCCAAGCCCTACCAAGTACCCACACCCTCCCAAGCCCTAGCAAGTACCCACACCCCCCAAGCCCTACCAAGAACCCACCCGAAGCCGGACAGACACCCACCTGGAGCCCGAACAGTCACCCACCCAGAGCCCGCCAGTTGAGTACCTAAAGCCTGCCCGGAGCCCCGACCGACAACCCACCCCGGAGCCCCGACCGACAACCCACCCCGGAGCCCCGACCGACAACCCACCCCGGAGCCCCGACCGACAACCCACCCCGGAGCCCCGACCGACAACCCACCCCGGAGCCCCGACCGACAACCCACCCCGGAGCCCCGACCGACAACCCACCCCGGAGCCCCGACCGACAACCCACCCCGGAGCCCCGACCGACAACCCACCCCGGAGCCCCGACCGACAACCCACCCCGGAGCCCCGACCGACAACCCACCCCGGAGCCCAGACCGACAACCCACCCCGGAGCCCCGACCGACAACCCACCCCGGAGCCCAGACCGACAACCCACCCCGGAGCCCAGACCGACAACCCACCCCGGAGCCCAGACCGACAACCCACCCCGGAGCCCAGACCGACAACCCACCCCGGAGCCCAGACCGACAACCCACCCCGGAGCCCCGACAGAGAACCCACTTGGGGCCCGACAGAGAACCCCCTTGGGGCCCGACAGAGAACCCACTTGGGGCCCGACAGAGAACCCACTTGGGGCCCGACAGAGAACCCACTTGGGGCCCGACAGAGAACCCACTTGGGGCCCGACAGAGAACCCACTTGGGGCCCGACAGAGAACCCACTTGGGGCCCGACAGAGAACCCACTTGGGGCCCGACAGAGAACCCACTTGGGGCCCGACAGAGAACCCACTTGGGGCCCGACAGAGAACCCACTTGGGGCCCGACAGAGATCCCACTTGGGGCCCCGACAGAGATCCCACTTGGGGCCCGACAGAGAACCCACTTGGGGCCCGACAGAGAACCCACTTGGGGCCCGACAGAGAACCCACTTGGAGCCCGACAGAGAACCCACTTGGAGCCCGACAGAGAGCCCACTTGGGGCCCGACAGAGAACCCACTTGGAGCCCGACAGAGAACCCACTTGGAGCCCGACAGAGAACCCACTTGGAGCCCGACAGAGAACCCACTTGGAGCCCGACAGAGAACCCACTTGGAGCCCGACAGAGAACCCACTTGGAGCCCGACAGAGAACCCACTTGGAGCCCGACAGAGAACCCACTTGGAGGCCGACAGAGAACCCACCCCGCGCCCAACCTTTCATGGAGAAAATTGAACACCAGGCGACAAAAATAATTGCAGAATGAGGTCTAGTTTCATACCATGAACGGTTGAGGGTCACAGGGCTAACAACACTGCAAACTATAGGCATGCCAGGATGGATCTCACCGAAACTATTAAAATATCGACTTGAATCGACTTGAGAATGGTCCAGGACGGACCGAAACTCGTCGTCCCTTCAACTTCTAGTGTGTGGTCTGGTCAACATACTTCAGCCACGTTATTGTGACTCATCGCCTGCCTATTAAAATATTGAACAGTTTCGAAGATATGGATCCAGAGAACAACTTCAAAAGGTCAGATGGAACACAAACAAGGAACAACGGTTTCAAGTCCAACAAGCCGCAGTGTAGGACTGAAAACATAAGCTATATTTTCACCCACAGGGTTATAAACCCATGGAACCGCCTATCTGCTAAAGCAGTAAATAACATAACACTTGAATTGTAAAATCCAATTTGAAAAAAAATCGGAACAAATGGGGGACCTGATCTGCTACCAGAAATTTTAGCCAAATATCCCCAGTCTGCTAACTGTAGGTAGCAACCGAGTGATTGTAACCTATCCACCGCTGCCCACTGGATGGGGGGCGGTGTGCAGGACAAACATAAATTGTGACACTAGCTCTCCACATATGTCAGGTGCTTAATTTGTCACGGAGATAGCTGTCTCCGTGGTGTAGTGGTAAGACACTCGCCTGGCGTTCCGCGAGCGCTATGTCATGGGTTCGTATCCTGGCCGGGGAGGATTTACTGGGCGCAAATCCTTAACTGTAGCCTCTGTTTAACGCAACAGTAAAATGTGTACTTGGATGAAAAAAGATTCTTCGCGGCAGGGGATCGTATTCCAGGGATCATAGGATTAAGGACTTGCCCGAAACGCTACGCGTACTAGTGGCTGTACAAGAATGTAACAACTCTTGTATATATCTCATAGGCACATTCGATCAAACTCCATACGCAAAACCCCATTATATTATATAATTCTATATACTGTGTATATATAAGATATAAATATGTCAAAAAGAATTATCACTCTTACCTGGAGCAATGTTGCTGATGTCGGAAATCAGTGGTACATGTTGTCGCGTTGACGGCAGGGACGGTACTGACCGATTGAGCCTTCAACAACCAACCGCCGTTTGAACGCCATTTTGAAATTCCAGGCGTACTACCCGAAAAGTGCGTAAACTAGTATTTGCGTGCATTATAGGCCATTCCAAGAAACCTTATTGCTATGAATATCTTGTTATCTAACAAACGAATTATTTATGTTAATATTTTTAGCACATATGTTAAATTAGGCCATTTTTCATTTAGAGGGGGTATATATATATATAGCTATTTACATTTTAAGTTTGAAAAATTACCGTACAAAATTGAATGCAAAGATAAGATTTATTTATACAACCCTGTTTGGAAATTAACTCCTTTTACAATGAAATAAGACGCAAATAAGAACCTCAATTGTGTAGTGAATTTTTAGTTTAGTTCATTTATTATGCACCCCATACCCATCTTGTGGGCGGTAGTGGAAAGGGTTACAGAGGCACATAATGGGCTCAGGGACTGAACCCCACAATTCATTTAACTAAGCAAGTTACAATCTTGATGAGCTAGTTACAAAATTCAATATAAGTCATCACATCAACAATGGATTCGAGATCGACCTCAAGTACAGGTTCTAAATTAAGCAACTGACATATGTGGAGAGATAGTGTCACAAGTTATATGTTTGTCCTGCACACCGCCCCCCATCCAGTGGGCAGCGGTGGATAGGTTACAATCACTTAGTTACTACCTACAGTTAGCAAACTGGGGATATTTGGCTAAAATTTCTGGTAGCAGATCATTTTGAATGAATTTATGCATTTTGTTTTGATTAAAAGCTTAGGTAGTACAATGTACTACTTCTACTTCTAATACCATATTATATATGAGGGGCTATTAAATAAAATTAAAGCACAAGCATGTTCACCTAATATCATTAGCTGACAGGTGAAATAATATGAAAGTCGGAAACTATTTGATTCTCTCTTAGAATTTCTACTAATCCTTTCTTTCGTCGAGACCAATATATGTCAGTGACCCCTCAGATAAATTTCATTTGCAGAAATCAAATTGTAAATGCACATTAATGACACTATGTAAAAGACACATCGAACACTTTATGTAGGGCATACATAAATCTGTGTATTTATGTATTTACGTATGTAGCTTAGCCTAGTATTTTAAAAGCACTACAAGCACCTTCTGTGGTTGATTGTTCAATAAATCCCTGCTGTATGTTTGACAAATCTCTAACCCTGTCCATGGAGGACAGAAGAAAATGTAAATATTATGGTTAGCATTGTTAATGTGTGGCCACGTCTGTGGTAGAAAATAATAATAATAAAACAAACTGCTTCCGACATTATAGTGCCAGGGTAAACTTCAAACAAGTACTTATCTCACTTAAAATACCCTTTACCATCGAGCATATATTAGGAAGCGGTGACCACTCGTTACAGGAAAAATACCAAATAGTCAAAGCACTGGCTAAATATCCCCAGTCGACCAACACATTGGTTCACATTTAACCCGCGCCACATTTATACCAGGCGCCACCAACAGCTAAACACAGAAAACAAATGAACATACACCTCTGTTTTAGTCGCCGCTCCTCTATCTACAGTACAACGCAACAAGTACTTTTGAAACTCTTATCATCCTCAACATAAACGCCTCTGCCAACATCTGTACTGGTGCAGTCATCGGTGGACAAACCCTTCCTGCAAACTGCACCTGCTATCAAGAAGAAGAAGTAACAACGTGAGGCGTTATTCCCGGATAAATCTATATTATCTCAGCCCATCCCAAATATCGTCAGGATCTATATACACTACACTAGTTCAGTATAAGATCTCTTGGTTCATTCTCGAAGAAAGTTGGCTCCTGCACTCTTCGTTACGTACTGGGAAAATCGGTATCATGCATACAGGTCTCTGCAAGGTTTGTTGTTGTTGTTGTTATTGGGTTAGGGGCAACTACAGCACGGGGCTGTGTGTGCCCGCTCAGTCCTGTGTGGTGTAAACATCTCTAAAATCCTGGAGGTTACGCGTCCCCTGCTGGCAACAAAAGTGCCATACGGCGGCTGTACGCACTGTAAAGTAAATGGTGATGTTCCCTGACATCTCTTGTGGAGCAGAGTTCCAGATCCACACGTCACACTAAACCTACTGGGAGAATGAGCTGACTTGCTTTGGGGTGGAGGGGGTTCTTTGGTCATTAATGCTTGGTTGGTCCAGTTGAGGGTGCATCATTTGTTGTGCCCTTTGATGGTGCTTCCCTCCCTCCACCCCTACCTGTGTGCCTTGGTGGACAACTTGTTGATTGGTCCTGTTTTCTTTGGTCCTCTGTTCGAAGGCACATTTTCCTCTGATTATCTGCAGTACCATTATAGGTAGCCAACCTGTGGCCTACCCTTGGACCCTTGGTATTCATAAGCAAGTTGGTATTCATTTTTCTCAGATAACCTAAGGAATCTTATTATAAACGATACGATACTACGACGATACTACGATAAGATACTGACGATACTACTAAACGATACGCTACTGACGATACTACCCTTATCTATTCAGACCCCCAACCCACATACACTAAATAATGTTGTGACTAATGAATTAAAAAAGTCCACTTATGGATGTCAACTAACAAACTAACATTAAATATAGAAAAGACTTACTACATCTTATTTGGAAGCAAATCATCAAATGCAATTCAGCTTCAGATAGACAACATTAACATCACTAATAAAAATGATGGCAAGTTTCTTGGCCTATTCCTAGACAAGAGACTCAACTTCAGCACCCACATTCAACACATAACTAAGAAAGTCTCTAAGACAGTTGGTATACTCTCTAAAATAAGATATTATGTTCCTAACTCTGCTTTCCTCTCACTATATTATGCACTAATCTACCCCTATCTTAATTATGGTATCTGTGCATGGGGGATCTACCACTGCAAACCACCTTAAGCCCATCATCACCCAGCAAAAATCTGCTATCAGAATAATAACTAACTGCTTTCAGACAACACTCAGCTCCCTTGTTTAAATCCCTAAACTTGCTAAATAATAACTCCTTCCTCACATTCTCTTGTGTCAACTACATTTACAAAACCCTGTTCTTAAATGCAAACCATGCTCTGAAACTCTCCCTGGACAGATGTAATAGGACCCATCATCACCACACCAGAAATAAATATCTCTTTGATATTCCCAGAGTCAAACTTAATCTGTGTAAACACTCTATGCAAATTAAGGGACCTAGTCTATGGAACTCACTCCCTAGTGAATTAAAAAGCTGTCAAACTTTTGCCTCATTTAAAAGCAAAACCAAAAAGTACCTAATTTCATCTTCGTAGTTTCCTACACTGAGCTTTAAATTTGCTCTGTATCTAGTGTTACCCAATCTCCCAATTTTTATGTACTTAACCCAAACAACCTTATCATTGTGTTCATTGCTGTCTTCTTTATGTGCTAGCCATATGCTGTATTGTGCCTACCAATTTTTGCCAACTACCATTCAAGTTGTCATTGCAATCAATCTGAGCTACCTATGTGCTTTAATATGCCTACAATTTTCTCTCATCTTTTATTTTTTTCTTGCCTTGTAACTGTTACCATTTTTTATAAATGTTGCAAGTATTTACCTACTTAAAATTTTCTTAGATTAAGGACCTGCCCAAAATGCTGCGCGTACTAGTTGCTTTACAAGATTGTAATTACTATACTATGTATCCTCACAATCCCAATGTACCTTCTTGTATATATATAAATACTGTATATTTATAAATACATATATATATATATATATATATATAAATGTCGTACCTAGTAGCCAGAACGCACTTCTCAGCCAACTATGCAAGTCCCGATTTGCCTATTAAGCCAAGTTTTCCTGAATTAATATATTTTCTCTAATTTTTTTCTTATGAAATGATAAAGCTACCCATTTAATTATGTATGAGGCAAATTTTTTTTTATTGGAGTTAAAATTAACGTAGATATATGACCGAACCTAACCAACCCTACTACCTAACCTAACCTATCTTCATAGGTTAGGTTAGGTAGCCGAAAAAGTTAGGTTAGGTAGGTTAGGTAGTCGAAAAACAATTCATGAAAACTTGGCTTATTAGGCAAATCGGGCCTTGCATAGTAGGCTGAGAAGTGCGTTCTGGCTACTAGGTATGACATAAATACATATATATAATATATATATATAAATATATATATGTCGTACCTAATAGCCAGAACGCACTTCTATGCCTACTATTCAAGACCCGATTTGCCTAATAAGCCAAGTTTTCATGAATTAATATATTTTCTCTAATTTTTTTCTTATGAAATGATAAAGCTACCCATTTCATTATGTATGAGGTCAATTTTTTTTATTGGAGTTAAAAATAACGTAGATATATGACCGAACCTAACCAACCCTACCTAACCTAACCTAACCTATCTTTATAGGTAAGTTTAGGTTAGGTAGCCGAAAAAGGTAGGTTAGGTTAGGTTAGGTAGGTTAGGTTGTCGAAAAACAATTAATTCATGAAAACTTGGCTTATTAGGCAAATCGGGCCTTGAATAGTAGGCATAGAAGTGCGTTCTGGCTATTAGGTACGACATATATATATATATATATATATATATATATATATATATATATATATATATATATATATATATATATATAAATGTATATATATATATAAATGTATATATATAAATACTTGTATATATTTAAAATAAATTAACAGTCTCCGTGGTGTAGTGGTAAGACACTTGCCTGGCGTTCCGCGAGCGCTATGTCATGGGTTCGTATCCTGGCCGGGGAGGATTTACTGGGCGCAATTCCTTAACTGTAGCCTCTGTTTAACGCAACAGTAAAATGTGTACTTGGATGAAAAAACGATTCTTCGCGGCAGGGGATCGTATTCCAGGGACCATAGGATTAAGGACTTGCCCGAAACGCTACGCGTACTAGTGGCTGTACAAGAATGTAACAACTCTTGTATATATCTCAAAAAAAAAAAAAAAAAAAAAAAAAAAAAAAAAAATAAATAAATAAATAAATAAATAAATAAATAAATAAATAAATAAATAAATAAGAACACAGCTATGGTTACGATTTTCTTCATGTCATGGTCTGATATTCAGGCTCCAAAGTTTTAGAGTTCTAAAAGGATCCTGGCTGCCTGATATTTGGTACATGTCCATGGTCCTTGTCAGTTACCAGTAAGCTTATGTGGGAAACTGTTGTAAGTGGGGCCTCAAGGCTCTATTGTAGGACCTCTGTTGCTTACCATAGATAAAGATAAACTTTTTAGCACAGGTGGTACGCAAACAAGGGGACACGGGTTGAAGCTTAGTACCCAAATGAGCCACAGAGACATTAGAAAAGAACATTCTCAGTTTCAGAGTACAGTACTTAACAAATAGAATGCATTAGGACTTGATGTGGTGGAGGTAGACTCCAGACTCCATACATAGTTTCAAATGTAGATATGATGGAGTCCAATTGGCCCAGGAACCTGTTCACCTATTGATTGACAGTTGAGAGCTCAGATTAGGCAAAATTGTAATTAATTTTGTCAATAAAGATGTTAATAATAATAATATGGCTGTGTTCGCTCTGTGCGAGGTTCTGGGTCTCGTAAAGGGCGCTGGCCCTTTCGCGGTTCACCCCGTTGATGGGGCGATGGAGGGGGGGGAGGCTTGCGCTGTTCGCTCATGCCTGGTCCCGCGATTCATGGGTGTTTCGGGTCGTTTTGCGTGGCCTCCGGTGGCGTTGGGTAGCCCCCTCCTTCGGGGGGTTCGGGGCAGGCCTCTTCCCCCTGCACTCTGTCAGGTCATCTTGGAGTGGGTTTGCTTGGGCATGGTCGAAACGATGACGTCCCTCAGATGGGTTTCCTGTCTGTTTCCGGTCCCGAAACGGGACTGCGCGGACCTGCGGTTCATCCTGAACTTGTCCCGTCTGAACCCCTGGGTTCATTGCCCCTCCATTCGGATGACTACGCTGTCCCAGGTTTAGCTCCTGTTGGAGCCGGGCACTTGGATGATATCCCTGGACCTCCGGGATGCTTATTGCCATGTTTTAATTCATCTGGGGTTCAGGGACTGGCTCGGTTTTGTTGTGGAGCGTCAAGGTTACAGCTTTCGTTGTCTCCCATTCGGGTTGAACCTGGCACCTCGCGTGTTCACACGCCTTACATGGGTCGTGGTGGCCCATCTGTGTTTGTTAGGTGTACGGGTGTTGGCCTACCTCGACGACTGGCTGGTTTGGGCTCCCAGCTGGTCCTCTTGTCTGCTGGCCAGGGATTTAGTTCTTTCTCAGCTTGCCGGGTTCGGGTTCTTGGTGAACTGGAGGAAGTCCCATCTGGTTCCCTCCCAGGTTCGGACATTGCTGGACCTTGTGTGGGACTCTCGGACATCTTCCTTGTCTCTTCCTCCGGAGTCTCTCCTGCGGCTGAGGTCCCGCATGCGCCTGTTTCTGGGGGGCTCCCGGGTCACGAGGCGGTTGCTCGAGGGTCTGTGCGGGAGCCTGAACTTTGCGATGCTGGTCTACCTGCCTGGTCGGGTTTGGCTTCGTCAGCTGTTCTGGTTCCTTCGGGGACGTCCCTTCCACCCTCTCGTGATCGTTGGGTTTGGACCCCGGAGGCATTGCGTCGGTTGCTGCGCTGTTGGCTTTCTCTTCGTTTTTTTGTGGGTTCAGTGCCTTGGTGCCTACCCAAGCCCTCGCTCGATGTGTTCACGGACGCGTCATCTCTCGGCTGGAGCTTTGTGACCAGTGCTCACCAGGCCGGACAGGGACGGAGGGGTCCGTCTTTCCTTCAAGCCCGCAGCACTGTGCGGAAGTTTGCTGCAGTTTAGTTTGCTCTTCGGGGGCTTCAGGTCACCCGCGGGTTGACGATCCGGCTCCATTTGGACTGCTCCCCGTATGGTATTTTTGACTCGAGTTTATCATCTCTATGGTGATAAGGTGGCTTCCTTGTTAGTGTCCCACCTGCGGGATTTGCCTCGGCGGCAGTATGAAGTTTCCTGGTTGTCCTTCCGGTTCTTCTTACGTCTTCGTCGTTGTACTTTGCCTTCTGTTAGGGTGTTGTCCTTTCTCTCTTGGTTGTTCCAGGACTGTCTACTTATGCCTAACACGGTTGCCTCGTATCGTGCGGCGCTGGCAGAGCCACTTCAGCTTGCTTTTGGTATCGATGTTATGTCTGCCCCGTTTCGCAAACTGCCTCGGGTGTTGTTTCACCTCCGGCCTGATCATGTGCTGCTTGAGCCGTCCTGGTCATTGGACAGAGTGCTCTCTTATCTTTCTTCTCCTCGGTTTGTTGTGGCCCCTTCGGTTCAGGATTGTTTCTCCAAGGCTCTTTTTTTCTGTTGGCTTTAGCCCCTGGGGATCCTGTTGGGTGAAGTGAGGTGAGCTTCATGCTCTCCTCCGGCACAGGGGTTTCTGTTCTTTTGGTCGGGGCGATCGGTTTGTTCGTCTGCAGCCTTCTCCTTCTTTTCTGGTGAAGAATGAGACTGCTGCTCTCTGGAGGGGTCCCTGGGTTGTTGATGCTTGGTTGGTTAGGCCGGGGGTGCATCATGTTTTGTGTCCGGTTGCAGCTCTCCACCGTTATTTGCGCGCCACGGCTTCTGTGTCCATGGACGCGTTTTGGGTTGATCCGATTTCCCTTCTTCCCTGTTCGCGAGTGCGGGTCTCCCAGGTCATCCACAGGATAATAAAGGCTAGCCAGCCTGTGGTCTATCCCCGTGTACTTGACTTTCGCAAGTTTGCGGCTCTTGCTGACGTCTTTGGCAATATGTCTTGAGCTGACAATCAGGCGCGGGGGTTTTGGCGGTCAAACAGGGTCCTGGTTGCTCGTTACCTTGTTAACGTCCCTGGGCCGAGTCGGGGCCTGTGTCGCTTTTGGTTGGCAGATGCAGCCAGTTGTCTCGACTTCGGGTTGAGGAGTGAGCAGCAACTGCCTCCCGGTTAAGTCCCTCTTTTTTTCCTCTGTGGGTAGTTAGCTCCGGGGAGCTGTAGGGGCTCCCTCCAGAAAACCAGCGTTGAATGTAATGAAACGCCATTTTCTGGGTGAGACCCAGAGGCTCACCGGCATCCCTCCCTCCGTCCGGTCGACATTTGTTTCGCGTGTTTTGACATCCAGCCTCAGAACTGGGGTGGATCGTTGGCACGGTAGATCTGGGCCTCCCCCTTCCCCCCTCACATGGAGGGGGGAGCTGCGCAGACGGCGGCGCAGCAACGGGTGACGTCACACTAGTTTGCTCGTTTTTGTTTGGGAGTTCTATGCACTTGTTCAGCTTTTGGTAGCAATATTTTCACCAGAACAGGGGTTTGTTTTGGGATGCTTACCTCTCTAGGTGCCTGACCCCGTCGATGGCAGACATAGAATGCTTTCAACCACACAGGGGCTTCTATAGGCAATTGCTCCTCTTGCCTCTCTGAGCGGGCCAGATTCTGGCCGTGGTCCCTGGTAGGCTCTAAGAACTCCATACACATGACTGATGCCAAAGTCTGACATTAGCATATCAGCCTGGATAACTCCGGGGAGTCTCCGGGTCTCTCCCAGAAAATGGAGTTTCACTACCATTAAGGGGAGCCGGTCGGCCGAGCGGACAGCACGCTGGACTTGTGATCCTGTGGTCCTGGGTTCGATCCCAGGCACCGGCGAGAAACAATGGGCAGAGTTTCTTTCACCCTATGCCCCTGTTACCTAGCAGTAAAATAGGTACCTGGGTGTTAGTCAGCTGTCACGGGCTGCTTCCTAGGGGTGGAGGCCTGGTCGAGGACCGGGCCGCGGGGACACTAAAGCCCCGAAATCATCTCAAGATAACCTCAAGATAACCTTCAACGCTGATTTTTTCACCTACGTATCATTTTGTGTTTCCTCTATTTTAATAATGTGTTCTTTTCTATCCTGTAAGTTTTCCTGTGAATTTATATGTTGTAATAATGTCCAGTGTTTTCCTTTCTTCCAGTGATGTGAGGTTTAGTTCGTTTAGTGATGAGTTGGTGTGTGTCAATTTGAATGTCTGGCAATTTGACCTCTCGAGTGATCAATTGATGGTAAGATTTTTACCCCTTTGTCACCCTATCAGTAGGTAGACTGACCCTGCCTGCAGGCAGTGACCCACATGTTATCTGCAGACTGTGCCTCATACTAGTTAATACAAACTGCATCACTGTTTAATGTAATAGGGTGGAAGTGACAAAACTTTACAGTTAAGCAATATTTCATTGCTATAAATAATTTACCAATTTCATTTGATCCAGCAGCACAAGAAGAACTTTTTTTCAGTGGGAACTGAGAATATTGAAGATGAAACTACCGTTTGTTGGTGGTATGGTTGCTGGGTGTCTGTCGACAGTAGGACTGATTAGTTTTACCAAACTGGGGCTCAGAAATTCTGAGGCACCTGTTGACGACTACCAGCAATTTACGAAGTCGCCAAAAGCCCCAATTGTATCTCGATCATCAGGAGGTAAAAGTTTTTAATTTGTATATTTGATTACATCATGAGTCCCTCCTCATTTCCAACTTGTTACAAACCTAAACTAATGTAATATAACCTGCCTTGACTTTAATTTTAGGTAACTTGTCCAGAAAAGTGTGGCTAGCTGGAAAGAGCAGAGTTCTTTGTTTAATGATACTAATATGTTTTGTTGCTGTTAGCTTTTGTGTTCTGTGTTACTTACTAGACAATGTTTCTTGCTGAACACTCTTGTGGTACCTAAGAGATGAATTGAAATAATATATATATATATATACATACACACACACACATATATATACATATACACATACATACATACAATAATAACTGAAAACTCACACCCCGGAAGTGACTTGAACCCATACTGCCAGGAGCAATGCAACTGGTATGTACAGGACGCCTTAATCCGCTTGACCATCACGACCGGACAAAAGGAAGTGATAGCCGAAGCTATTTGAACCAATTCCCCGCCAGCACTCGGATGGTAATCTTGGGCATAGCATTTTATCAAATCACCTCATTCTTTGGGGCACACGTGAGGAACACAAATGCGAACAAGCCTGATATAAAACAAGTATACTTGTTAAACAGGTATATCTATCTGTATAAACTTCCCCAACAATGTAAACAAACGACTGCATCCCTTGTAACAAGTGAGAGCTCGTTAGCACTACCTCTACCATCAGTTGGGGGAACTGATGGTGGGGGGGACTGGAGCTCCCACTGTCCACTGGTCTATTCACCAGTTCTGTCACTGATGCAGACTGTTACCTTACCTTGAGGTTACCTTGAGGTGCTTCCGGGGCTTAGCGTCCCCGCGGCCCGGTTGTCGACCAGGCCTCCTGGTTGCCGGACTGATCAACCAGGCTGTTGGACGTGGCTGCTCGCAGCCTGACGTATGAGTCACAGCCTGGTTGATCAGGTATCCTTTGGAGGTGCTTATCCAGTTCTCTCTTGAACACTGTGAGGGGTCGGCCAGTTATGCCCCTTATGTGTAGTGGAAGCGTGTTGAACAGTCTCGGACCTCTGATGTTGATAGAGTTCTCTCTCAGAGTACCAGTTGCACCTCTGTTTTTCAACGGGGGTATTCTGCACATCCTGCCATGTCTTCTGGTCTCATGTGATGTTATTTCTGTGTGCAGGTTTGGGACCAGCCCCTCTAATATTTTCCACGTGTAAATTATTATGTACCTCTCCCGCCTGCGCTCAAGGGAGTACAGTTTTAGGCTCTTTAGTCGGTCCCAATAGTTTAGATGTTTTACTGAGTGGATTCTAGCAGTGAAGGATCTCTGCACGCTCTCCAGGTCAGCAATTTCTCCAGCTTTGAAAGGTGCTGTCATTGTGCAGCAGTACTCCACTCTAGAGAGCACAAGCGTTTTGAAAAGTATCATCATCGGTATAGCATCTCTAGTGTGAAAAGTTCTTGTTATCCAACCTGTCATTTTTCTTGCAGTTGTGACGGCTACTTTATTGTGTTCTTTAAAGGTAAGGTCTTCCGATATGAGTACACCCAGATCCTTTACATTGCCTTTTTGTTCTATGTTATGATTTGCCTGAGTTTTGTACGTGGTTTCCGTTTTTATATTTTCATTTTTTCCATAGCGCATGAGCTGGAACTTATCTTCGTTAAACACCATATTATTTTCTGTAGCCCATAGAAAGACCTGATCTACATCTGACTGGAGGTTTGCCGTGTCCTCTATGTTGCCTACTCTCATGAAGATCCTAGTGTCATCTGCAAAGGATGATACAGTGCTATAGGTTGTGTTCTTGTCTATGTCCGATATGAGGATGAGAAAAAGTACTGGAGCAAGCACAGTACCCTGGGGGACTGAGCTCTTCACGGTTGATGGGCTGGATTTTATTTTGTTGACTATTACACATTGGGTTCTGTTGGTCAGGAAATTGTAGATCCATCTGCCTATTTTTCTGGTAATTCCTTTTGAACACATTTTATGTGCAATAACACCATGGTCACATTTATCAAAAGCTTTTGCGAAATCTGTAAATTACATCAGCGTTTTGTTTGTCTTCCATAGCATCTAATGCCATATCATAGTGGTCCAGCAACTGCGACAGGCAAGAGCGCCCTGTTCTGAAACCATGTTGTCCGGGGTTATGGAGTTGCTGTGATTCCATGTATTTTGTGATCTTACTTCTTAGCACTCTCTCAAAAATTTTTATGTGCGATGTTAGTGCTATCGGTCTGTAATTTTTTGCCTCTGCCTTATTTCCTCCTTTATGAAGTGGTGCTATCTCTGCTGTTTTTAGTATATCAGGAATAACGCCAGTATCTAGGCTTTGTCTCCACAGAATGTGGAGGGCCTGCGATAGAGGTTTTTTACAGTTCTTTATGAATATGGAGTTCCAAGAATCCGGGCCTGGTGCAGAGTGCCTAGGCATACTGTTTATGGCTTCTTCAAAATCCAGTGGGGATAGGGTGACGTCTGATATATGATTTGATGTTGGTATCGTATCCATGAAAAATTCATTTGGGTTATCAATCTTTAGTGTGTTTAATGGCTCGCTGAAAACAGTCGTACTGCGTCCTCAGTAGCTCGCTCATTTCTTTGTTGTCATCGGTGAAAGTTCCATCTCCCTTTTGCAGGGGCCTGATACTAGTGTGGTGGATTTCTTTCTATTTCACTGATGGCCTTTTGCTCTCTTTGCCTCTCCTGGGTTTTGTATGATTCTTGTAGCTTCCGTTCAATTGTTTCTATTTCTCTACCTAACCTTCTTCGCCGTTCTTGAGATAGGGTGCGACTCTAAAGTTGTTCCGCGATTCGTTTTCTTCGCCTATATAGGGAACGACGTTCCCGTTCCAATCTGCATCTCTTCCTCTTTTTTCTTAGAGGTATGCGGTTTGAACATATTTCTAGTGCTACTGAGCTTATTTTTTCCAGGCACTGGTTCAGGTTTGCATTTTCTAGCTGTTCTTCCCAGTTTATTTCTGTGAAGTCCTGGTTTATTTGCTCCCAGTTTATCTGTTTATTATTGAATTTGAATTTGCTGAAATCTCCTCCACCGGGAATCTGGACTGGTTTTGAAGGTCCTGTTGTGAATATCCTCTGTAGGGCTCGATCAGTCCTTACACTTCAAACACAGGATTCACTTGGATGCACTGTATACACTGAACTTGTGGCACCCCACTGTCCCCACTTAGTCCTTTAGTACTACTTTCGTGGAGTTGTGTTCTCCTGCTCATGTCCTTAAAGTCTAAATCCAGAGTTCCAATACTCAATATCCAGACACACCTACAGTAACCAATGATTTATTCCTGGTACTGAAAGGTGTCCTTGTGATGATGTAACTATAGGTAAAGGGGGTTGTCTTCGTTAGCACAGACACGTTACCGTCCCGAGTTCACAAACCCGAATGAAGCTTGTAGGCACCTGCTGGAGTCCCTCTGTTTCCCCCTGGGCTTGTCAGCAAATCAAAACACTGCTCGCTTTTGATTGGTAGCCTGCAATCCAGCATGCAACCTGCTTTCACTCTTGTCCTGGTTGATGTCTTGCTGCTCCACTGTGGTATGTGGAGTGTGGTAAGGAATTTTGGAGTATTGTGGGGGGAGGGGGTCTAGTCCAATGATTTACAATGTGTCAACCCCCACTTCCCCATACCATCTAACAATCTCTTCTCCCCCTGAGCTTAGGGATTCCACAAAACACATGGAATCAGTGTCTACATTACCCTGGACAACATGGGTTCAAAACAGGGTGCTCTTGCCTCTCACAATTGCTAGTCAACTATGACATGGCCTTAGATGCCATAAAAGACAAATGAAATGCTGATGTAATACACAGATTTTGCAAAAGCCTTTGACAAATGTGACCATGGTGTTACTTACTGCTAAAAGGAATTACTGGCAAAGTAGGGTGATGGATCTTCAACTTATAAACAGAACCCAGAGTGTAATACTCACCAAAGTAAAATCTGAATCATTCGCCATGAAAAGCTCGCTTCCCGAAGGTACAGTACTTGCTCTTGTACTTTTCCTCATCCTCATATCAGACGTAGGCAGGGATACCAACTATAGTACTGTATCATCCTTTGTGGATGACACCAGAATTCTAATGAGAGTAGACAATATAGAGGACAGCAAACCTCCTATCCAGTGTTAATCAAGTCTTTCAATGGGCCACAGAAAATTAACATGATGTTTAATAATGCTAAGTTCCAATTACTCCACTTTGGAAAAAACAAAAACATCAAAGCAGAAACCACATATAAAACAGTCAAACCACATTATTGAAAGAAAAAGCAATGTAAAAGATTTAGGAGTAATCATGTTGGAAGACCTTACTTCTAAAGAACACAATACAGTTGCTGTCACAACCGCAAGAAAAATTACAGGTTGGATAACAAGAACCTTTCAAACAAGAAATGATACGGCAATGATGATACTTTTTAAGACATTAAGACAAAACATTTCAAGACATTCTTTTTAAGACGTTCACTCTACTCTCTATAGTGGAATATTGTTACACACTAACAGCCCCATTCAAAACTGGAGAAATTGCTGACCTGAAGAGCATGCAAAGATCCTTTTACTGTTGGACTACGCTCAATAAAACATCTAAATTACTGGAACCGCCTAAAAATATAAAATCTGTATTCTCTAGAGTGCAGATGGGAAAGGTATATACTAATTTACACTTGGAAAATATTAAATTGACTGGTTCCAAATATGCACACAGAAATAACACCGCATGAGACCATAAGGCATGGCAGGATGTGCAAAATAGCCCCACTGAAGAACAAAGAAGCAATAGGCATGCTAAGAGGGAAATCTATCAACATCAAAGGCCCAAAACTTTTCAACACTCTTCCCCTACACATTTGGGGCATAACTGGCCAACCTTTCGCATTGTTTAAAAGAAAACATGACAAGCACCTTCAAAGAATACTGATCAACCAGGCTGTGACTCGTGTGTCAGGCTGTGAGCAGCCCCATCAAACAGCCTGGTTGATCAGACCAGTAACCAGGAGGCCTGGTCAGAGACCGGGCTGCGGGGATACTAATCCTTGGAAATCTGCAACACGTCGGGTCAATTCCGCAGGTAGCAACCAACTACTTGCTTAATTCCAGCTCAGTGAACTGACATAGGTCAACATGGACAGCATTATTAAACTCTTTTAAAACATGAATAAACTTTAGACACCAGACATGACCCATCTCTGTCCAAGCATATGGGTGTTGCATCATGCAAGCACCTTGCATGCACATCTCATAACATGAGTAAGCATGGCTTGTGCTGAGAGATCATTCTCTTGCATAGTATGTGTAATGTGTATTCTCTAATGGAATTTCATGGCCTACTCCATTTGCATTTGCCTTGTCACAGCATAACTTCTCAACACATTCTCTTGGTACCATCCTCACACTACATTCTCAATATTATGTATTGTAGTAATATATTAGGTACTCAAATTAAATTATATATGTTTTATTTATTTTTATAAATATCTAGGTTGTAAAAATGAAACTTTGCATCTTTATGGGAACATGTAATTTTATCATAAATTTCTGTCATACTGAAATTATAAAAAATTTTCAGAAGAAAATTCTAGAGTTGATCAAGTCTTATCATTTGGTTGGCCCAGTGGTGGACGCATTCAGAGAAAATTAAAAAATTATGTCCTTGAATACGACTGTGCTCGCAAAATACCTGTTTGGGTGGCAGAACACCTGACAGTTGAATCTCTTAAGGTAAGATTAGCTATGCCTGTAAATTTGTGTGATGACTTCTCTTTCAGCATGACTCGAGGTTTATCCCACCTATGATATAACAGCCCATCCTCCTGTTTAGGTATTACTGGGGCTTATAGTAATGATGAGGACCATCGTACATATATTGATGTAAAAGGCAATTAGAAAGTAGAAATTGGTACGTCTGAATTTGGACAAAGTGGAAATGTTCTTGTACTGATGTTGCAAAGAAAACTTACCTAAACTAACATTCCTAGGCCTAATCTGAGGCCCTAATATAGTACAGTACATAAGTGCTATACTAGGCCTAGAAATATTTAAGTTTGGTTTTTAGCTTTATTTCTGGGGGGAGCCCCTATGGCTCCCCGGAGCTTACTAGGCTGATATGCTAAGGTCAGACTTTGGCATCAGTCATGTGTATGGACTTCTTATGGACCAACCGGGGACCACGAGCCAGAACCTGGTTCCCTCTAGAGAGGCAAGGGGAGCAATGGCCTATAGAAACCCCTGTGTGATTGAAAGCATTCTATGTCTGCAATCGACCAGGTTAGGCACCCAGAAAGGTAGGCGTCCCAAAACAAACCACCTGTTCTGGTGAAAATTGCAACCAAAAGCCGAATGAGTGGATAGACCTCCCCAAACAAAAATGAGCACCCTAGTATGATGTCACCCGTCGTTGTGCTGCTGTCTGCGCAGCTCCACCCCTTCCCGGGAGGGGGAAGGGGTAGACTGTTGGGTCGGTGACACTTTTGACCCTGAGTCCTGTGATTATTGCTGCTTGCTGGTGACTCAATTTACCCAATCTGTGGATGATCGTCTTCAGGTACAGGCTGTGCAGGCGTTGCATTCTAGGTTTCATTTGTTGCAACACGCTTGGTTGGTTGCTCACCCGGATGCCCCGTGGCTGCCGTGGCGGATGCAGCCAGTTGTCTCGACTTCGGGTTGAGGAGTGAGCAGCAACCGCCTCCCGGGTAAGTCCCTATGCTTTTCCTCTGTAGGTAGTTAGCTTCAGGGAGCCGTAGAGGCTCTCCCCAGAAAACCAGCATTGAATGTAATGAAATGCCATTTTGTGAGTGAGTCCCAGAGGCTCCCTAGCATCCCTCCCTCCCTCCGGTTGGCGTTTTTTTCGCGTGTTTTGACATCCAGCCTCGGAACTGGGGTGTGGATCGCCGGCGCAGTGCGTCTGGGACTACCCCCTTCCCCCTTCTGGGGGAAGGGGGAGCTGCGCAGACAGTGGAGCGACGACGGATGACGTCATACAAGTTTGCTCGGTTTTTGGGGGGGGAGTTCTATCCACTCGTTCAGCTTTTGGTTGCAATTTTCACCAGAATAGAGGTTTATTTGGGGACGCCTACCTTTCTGGGTGCCTAACTCCGTCGATGTCAGACATCGAATGTTTCCAATCACACGGGGGTTTCTATAGGCCATTGCTCCTCTTGCCTCTCTAGAAGGGGCAGGTCCTGGCTCGTGGTCCCCGGTAGGCCCATAAGAACTCCATACACATGACTGATGCCAAAGTCCGACTTTAGCATATCAGCCTAGTAAGCTCCGGGGGAGCCTCCGGGACTCACCCAGAAAATGGCATTTCATTACATTCAACGCTGGTATTTTTCAGACTCTATAAAGTAAGTAGTTTCAAAATATCTAATTGTCCATTACATGTATGTATGTATGTATGTATGTATGTATGTATGTATGTATGTATGTATGTATGTATGTATGTGTATGTATGTATGTATGATGGTCCACATACTGTAGGTGCAAAAAGTACTGTCCAAACAGAATGATGGGGTGAATATAATGTAACTGAAAGATGTACATTAATATTTGTTGTAAGATTATTACAGTATATTATAACAGGATAAGTGTTTGATTATTAATACAGTATTGGGTGAAACTACAGTACAACATCGGTTAAAATAATTGCATGTTTTTTCAATACAATTTATACACACCCAAACACTTGATATTTTGTTGTTTCTTCTTTGGCTTTGATAACATAATGAAGGCACTTCTTAAAGCTTTTTAATAAATTGAGGCACTTCTCACAAAATATTTGTGACTATTCTTGATGCATAACTTCCTTAGCTTCTTCAGCTACCTGTGCTTGTGAACTGGTCTCCTTTGCTCATGCTACAAATATTCTACTAGGTGGAAATGTTGAGATTATGATAAAGAAAGCTTTAATTGAATTTTTCAATGCATCTTATTGAGCAGAATCCTTTGGATGCTCCCTAAAATTATAATCTGCAATATCATGGGACAGGAATGTATTCAGTTAGGCTAGTCAGCACTGACACCTGTACCAGAGAGAACTTTTCACATGATCCCTTTTGGACCATAACAGGGAGCCTTACACATTATTTAATCCATCTGAATAACATTTGGATAACCCTTAGGGAACCCTCCTTGGCCCTCACAAGTGACCATCAAAGGAGGGCTTTTGCTAACTACCAGTTGAAATGCCTGGCTATCTACACTAATCAACAGAACCAGTCTGCCATGCAAGTGAAGAAGTGGTAGCAGTGAAATGCTGCTGCCCAGAAAGGTTCTTTTGATGTTCAAAAAAACTTATTTATGATCACATTTGCCTGTTTCCTACCTACCTAGCTCGTGGAGATTTTAGGGATTAACAGCCGCGGCCCGATCTCCGACCAGGCCTCCTGGTTGGTCGTCTGGTCAACCAGGCTGTTGGTTTACCAGATGCCATTGAATGCATTCAATGGCACCTATGATAAAAATTTAGATGATTGCTCACTATATTTCCTCTAGCCTAATTACAAAATATAATATAAATATTCTGGTACATATACTGTAATTTACAGTCACATACTTAGAGTGGATTTGAAGGTGTGAGTATATGAAGAAACATGGATTGATGGGCAAGCATGGCGAATGTATGAGAAAGTATGGATTGGTGGACAGATATTGTAAGTGAATAAGTAAGCATGGATTAAGGGGTAGGCATGGTGAGTATGTGAAGAAGAGTCAATTCAATGAAGTGGTGGTGGTAAAGGAGACTAAATAGCATCATTTTGTGAAGCAGGAGGAAATGTTTGAGAACTCACAAGGAATATTAAGCTGTACCCTTACTTGTATGAAGTAGTCAGCAGCTGCTATGGATTATTTTCAGGAGGATGGTGTAGTTGATATTATCTGATGCTGTGCTGTGTAGTATGGAAGTATAGTGAATGAATGTTTGTAAAACATTAATATTTTTATGCTTATTTCCTTGTTCTGTTCCTCTATTTTCTCTTGGCGGATGCCTCTCCACTCCATCGGAGAGGGAAACTGGGTAATAATAATAATAATAATAATAATAATAAATTAAGTTAATTACATTTGAACATTGCTCAAATTTTAGTTATGATGTTGAACTTATTAATGCATATTAAACTTATCCAGGGTTCAGCCAACAGACAAGCTGCCAGGTTTAAGATGGACCCTTCCATACCAGAGGAATTTTCAGCTCAGAACAGCGATTATCGAAGCTCTGGCTGGAGTCGTGGGCATATGTCTCCAGCAGGCAATCAAAAGATGTCTCAGGTATGTACATGTCCTCCCAAGTTCCCTTAGTGAGGATGCCAGATTATGATCCTGGTTTTTGGTAGTTGCTAGGGATTTACAGTGTATTAGAACTTGTTGTGGTACACAAGGCTTAAAAAGGTTCCAGTTGGGTACTTCAGGAAGCCATCAAGGAATCCACCAGAAAGAGGCATTTCACTGCATTTAACCTGGATTTTTCAGTGATTTTGATATCAAATGTTGCATAGCATGTTCTCTTATTTGCACTTTAAAAGACATAATAATTTGAGAATAATTTATTGTGTGGGGGGACAAGAAGCCAGAGTGTATTCATACACATTAGGTTTTATTGAGGTCCCCCCTTCCCGAATTACTGACCCCACCCATGATGCAACTCCACAACAGGTTGACTAACTCTTTTCGATTGTACATGGAGAACGAACCCTACTGTACTACCGGAACCCCTTGTAGTACTTGTACAGAAATGCCATGATAAGATTATACTTTTTATTGTATACGATGTTACACTTGTAATTGTTTTATCAAATCAAGCAGATATTCATGGTAAGTGTTTATATAGAGTTTGACTGTCCTTTTTTCCTCTATGCATATTATCGGTATACTGTACATAGTTCAATATTAATGCTTTAATTCCATGTATCCTCATCCCTGTGTGCATAACTATACAACATAAACATCAAACTAAATCTGTGCAAACACATTATGCAAATAAAGGGCCCTTTTTTATAACAAATTTAAGAGCTGTCCAACCTATGCCTTATTCAAACGTAAAATCAAAAAGTACCTAATTTCATCCTCATAGTTTCCTACCTAGTGCTTCAAACTCACACTGCGTATTGTGCTGCTCACTCACCCCCAATATTTGTGCCCAAGACATGCAACTTCACCATTGTGATCACTGCAATCAACTTCTGTCATAGTTGTTATGTTGAATGCAAATTTTGCTACAATGTACCTATTAATAATCTTCAAATTATACTACAATGTATCTAGTAATAATCTTCGCATTTTACTACAATGTACCTATTAATATTCTTCAAATTTTCATACAAATTATTTACTTATAATTATCTGTTAGATTAAGGGCTTACCCAAAATGCTGTGCATGTAAGTGTCTTTGCAAGAATGTTAAAACATCAATGTTATGTACTCTCACAAACCCAATGTACCTTCATGTTTATATAAGTAAATAAAAAAAAATCCATAACATAATACAATTAGTGTACACTGTACAGTATTATTATTGTCTTTATGGAATATGCTGATTTAATTTCTTGTTTTTAGGAATCTATGGATGAAACATTCTACCTCACAAATATTGTACCACAAGATATTCAAAATAATGGAGGATTTTGGAATAGATTTGAAATCTTTTGTCGTGACTTGACTGGGATGTACGAGGATGTATGGGTTACATCCGGGCCTCTCTTCCTCCCGACTCAACAAGAGGATGGCAGGAAAATGGTTACATACGAGGTAACATATGGTAGCTGTTCATTTTTCATATGTATCAATAAAATTTTCAGTTGAATGTTTATCTAAAAGTATGCAGTGTGAGGTTGACTTTCTCTCCGAGTGCATTTATTGCACTTGTCTTTGAAATTTATCCATCAAAGCTTGAAACTGAAAACTTATGCATCCACTGTTGGTAGATTTTAGCCACAAATGCTATATATAATGACATTCAGAATGCTTCCACTCCTTGTGTAAAGACAACTTGTAATGCTGTATGAGCTCACTTATCTGAAGGCTGATGATCCGAATATTTGGGTTATCCAACGACAATTGTGGCCTGATATTTTTCTGATAAAACTTCTCCATACCCAGATAGAAACTGAAATAACTGGAGGTTGAGGTAGAGTGCAGACAGCTATAGGTTTTAAATCAGGTGTGAATAACTTTCTGCTAAACTTCACCATATCCTGACAGAGATCAGGAAAAGCGGAGATTTTACCGGATGCTGCAGACAGACATCAGGCGGTACCATATTAATTCCGTACAGCAATGGCTTGAGGCGTGAAGTATGGCAGGTGTTGGGGTGGGTGGCTTCAGAATAGGGGGTGTTGGGAAGGACTGTCTGGGGGATGAGAGACAAGTGGAGGGGCCTATAATCTGTATTATATAGAATAACCAAAAATGATGTTAAAACAATTCATTACAGTAAAATCTAAATAAATATTATCTAATATAATAAAAATACACATTTCTTAAACCATGTGTACAAGTCAAGCCTGTGTGATCACACGTTAAACCTGGCCTCGGGCTGGGCTTGGGGAGTAGAAGAACTCCCAGAATCCCATCAAGCAGGTATCAAGATGAATAGTTTCTTGCTAAAATTTGCGGAGTTTTATTCCACCTGGCAGTCTACAGAATGTGCCTGCCTGACCAAGGTGGACCCATCCAGGTCTGCTTGAGCTAGAAAGGCCGTATGGTCTCGATCCCTTGCATTTTAACACAGTGCCGTACCATTAGTGAAACATACAATATTCTTAAATAACTGTTTTCATAGTAACTTTAATAATTTTTTTGCCGAGACTATGTCTGGTAGTAGCAGCAATCTTCCTGGAGGTGTTATGATGAAGGTTGTGCTAGCACACCACAGATAACCAAATACAGGTTACTCGTGTCTACTGTTGACATGTTAATTAATTTTTCATTCAACTGTGCAAATCCAGAAGTTGGAAACTTGTATCAGTACTTGAGGTGAACCAAAGATTCTATCATAAGAGGGGCCAATGAACACAGTAGGGAAACAAAACTCGATAGTTATTTGGCAAAAATAGCAAGCCAAGGCTCTTAGATCAGTAAATCTTCAGCAGCTGGCAGTCAAAACTGACCTTGCCAAGCTCATGTACTGTACTGTAATTTTAGTGTGTTAAGTTAGATTACATAAATTTTCAAGAATTATTGATTTGAAGGTTTAACATTATATGCAGCATCAATCAAGAAGCCTAACTGCAACAAGGTAAGCTGAAGTGTCTGCTTTAAATTACAGTACTGGTATATTTTTTCATAATAGTAGTTCTATAGATTCAAATTACGTTGGTTGTGGTACAAAACTAAATTGTGAATATGTTCACTTTGTAGCTTCCCCGGTAAGGGTTCTTCTTTTCCGAATGTTTGGCTTATCCAGTGAGGGGGGGGGGTCCTTCCCACATAGTTTGGATAAGTGAGCTTATACAGTACTGTATGTATGTACATTCGGATTGATATTTGCTGCATCACATAACATTATCTAAACAAAATAATTTGGCCATTGCAAACCATTTCTGAGGGGAGCCCTGTCAGCTTCCCGGAGCTATCTAGGCTGATATGTATATCTTAGCTTTCTAGCATCAGTCAAAGTGCAGGAAGTTTTTGCCTACCGGGGACCACGAGCCAGAACCTGGTCCCCTCAGAGAGGCATGAGGAACAATGGCCTATAAGAACCCCCGTGTGGTTGGGAGTATGCTATGACAGGGCCACTGACTGGGTCTGACACCCAGAAAGATAGGCGCCCAACAACAAGTGGTGTGTGAGCCATGAGTAATAAATATATCTATGGTACTCGGGCTGCATGCGCCTAGGGTTTTCTTCCCTAGGAAGGGAAGTACTGCCCTTGGGGCTTGGGGCCACTTTTCACAAGTCACCTTGGGGCCTACCTCCACCGTGTCTTTTAATGCTCGGTACATAGCTGCCCTTGGAGTCGGCTGGGTTTTTTGTTGCCCTTATTTGGCTCTGGGCAGGAGGTAGTTTTCGTCACTGGTAGAGGCGCGGGGTACTGCACAGCTAGTTATCACCTATTGTAGAAGCTGGCTCTGTTTCCCCTGGGTACGTTGTCCTCTTGTGGGGTTTTTTCTTTTATTTTTGTTTTCCCTGCCTGGTGGGGGTCTACCTTTGGTTGGTTGACTCCTTTCTACATTTGGGGACTTCCCTCCTCTTTCTTCCTCCTCGAGCTGTCCTCGGATTGGCTTGAGTTGGACATGGAGGAGCTTGGGGTTGCCTCTGGGCATGGTGCGTTGCCCTTGGCAATGCGTGCGTCATCTGCTTTGTTGAAGCTGTTCGTGCCCCTCCTGCGGGATGCGGTTTGGCATTTTTACTTCTCGGCTCACTTGTCGGCAGGCGGTGCTCGCTTTTTTTTTTTTTGAGATATATACAAGATATATACGATATATACAAGATCCTTTTTTGAGATATATATACGCATAGCATTTCGGGCAAGTTCTTAATCCTATGGTCCCTGGAATACGACCCCTACGAAGAATCGTTTTTACAACCAAGTACCCATTTTACTGTTGAGTTAAATAGAGGCTACAGTTAAGGATTTGTGCCCAGTAAATCCTCCTCAGCCAGGATATGAACCCAGGACAAAGCGCTCGCGGAACGCCAGGCGAGTGTCTTACCACTACACCACGAAGACTGGTAAAGGCCCTTCTTTGGAATCCGCTTGGGCCCTGGCTCTTAGGTTGTCTACGCCTTTTTGTTCATTGCTGTTTGCAGAGTCTGCAGTTGTGCAGTATCTGCAGGCAGCTTCAGCTAGTTGCTGTCCTATGTCGGACTTGTTAGTCCTCCGGGGGGCTCGTGGGGGAAGGGGGGGCACCTTCCCGGAAGAGTCATGCCAGGGCTCGGGGATCTTCCCGTCGTGGTAGGCCTGTGGTGCCAGATTCGGGGGAGGTGCAGCCTTTGGTACCGTCTGTTTCTGGTCGACGGGGGATTCACCCTGTGCGACGTTTAGGTTCCCGTAAGGTGTGTCAGCCTTTTTGTGGTTCGTCCCATTAACGGGGCAGTGGGGGAGGGGGGGAGGCTCGCTCTGTTTACTTATGCCTGGTCCCACGATTTGTGGGTTTTCGGGTCGTTTCGTGCGGTCTGCGGTGACGATGGGTGGCTGCTCCTCCTTCGGGGGGGTTTGTAGCTGGCCGGGCAGGCCTCTTCACCTGTGCTCTGTCGAGTCGTCTCGGAGTGGGTTTGCTTGGGCGTGGTCGAAACGACCTCATCTCTCCAGTGGATTTCCCTTCTGTTTCCAGTCACAAAATGGGACGGTGTGAACCTCCGGTTCATTCTGGACTTGTCCCGTCTGAACCCGTGGGTTTATTGCCCCTCCTATCGGATGACTAATCTGTGTCGGGTTCGTCTTCTGTTGGAGCCAAGCGCTTGGATGGTGTCCCTGGACCTCAAGGATGTGTATTGGTACATCCCGATTCATCCAAGGTTCAGGGTTTGGCTCGGTTTTGTTGTGGGGCATCAAGGTTACCACTTTCATTGCCTTACATACGGCTTGAATCTGGCCCCTCGCGTTTTCACACGCCTTACTCGGGTCATGGTGGCCTGCCTGCATCTGTTAGGTGTTTGGGCTCAGGCCTACCTCGACGATTGGCTGGTATGGGCTCCCAGCCAGTCAGCGTGTCTGCTCGCCTGGGATTTGGTTCTTTCCCAGCTCGCTGAGTTCGGGTTCCTGGTGAACTGGCGGAAGTCCCATCTGGTTCCCTTTCAGGTTCAGTCTTGGCTGGGTCTTGTATGGGATGTTCGGACAGCTTCCTTGTCTCTTCCTCCGGCGGCTCTGCTTCGTCTGCATTCCTGCCTTTGTCTGTTCCTGCGGGGCTCCTGGGTCACGAGACGGTTGCTCGAGGGTGTGTGCGGGAGCCTGAACTTTGCCATGATGGTCTCCCCCACCGGGTTGGGTGTGGCTTCGTCGGCTGTTTTGATCCCTTCATGGACGTCCCTTCCACCTCTGTCGCGACTGCGGGGTTCGGCCTTCAGGGTGCTTTGCGTCAGTTGCTGCATTTCCGGCTTCCTCTTCAGGTTTTTCAGGGTTCAATGAATTGGCGTCTACCCGAGCCCTCACTCGATGTGTTCATGGATGCTTTGTCTCTTGGCTGGGGCTTTGTGACTAGTGCTCACCAGGCCGGCTAGGGATGGTTGGGTCCGTCCTTCCGTCAGGCTCACAGCACGGTGCGGGAGTTCGCAGCTGTGTGGATGTCGCTCAAGAGGATTCAGGTCGCTCGCGGATTTGACGATCCGGCTCCATTCGGACTGTTCCCTATTGGTTTGTTGCCTGAACCGAGGGGGGTTCCATGCGGTCCTTGGCTCTTTGGAATGGTCGCTTTGGGTGACTCGTCTGGTGAGTTCTTGGGGTCTGGCTCTCCTGGCGGTTCACGTTCAGGGGTGTCCAATGTCCTGGCAGACGGCCTGTCCTGGTTCATTCCCCTGTCCATGGAATGGACGGTCGATGCCACCTCATTCAGTTGCCTCTGCCATACATTTCGGGCCTCCGGAAGTGAATCTCTTCGCGTCGGTGTGGTCGAGGTGTCTCCCGGTATACGTGGCGTCCTTCCCTACTGTGAGGCCATCGGGGTTGATGCCTTCAGGCAGGACTGGGCGAGGTGGGGTTACCTGTACCTTTTTTCCATGATTCAGCTTTGCTCCAGGTCCTGGCTCGCTTGGAGACTTACTAGGGGAGAGTTGTTTTTCTGGCTCCTTGGTGGCCGGCCCAGCCTTGGTTTCAGGCGCTGCTTGCTCAATGTCCAAACCCGAAGGTCTTCCCGTGGCTCCGCCTCTTTCAGCAGATCAGTCCAGCTCAGTACGAGGCTGGCTTGTTCTTCTCCTCGAGTCTTCGTGTCTGGAGTTTCTGACTCGAGTCTATCATTACTTGTATGGGGTGCAAGTGGCTTCATTGTTGGTCTCCCAACTGCTTGCTTTGTCTCGGTGGTAATATGAATTTTCCTGGCAGTCCTTTCGATTTTTACTATCACTGAGTAGGTGTACTTCGGTCTCTGATAGGGTTGTCTTGTCCTTCCTTTCATGGTTGTTCCAGGACCGTCATCTTATGCCGAATACTGTTGCCTGGTATCATGCGGCGCTGGCAGAGCCACTCCAGTTTGCGTTTAATATTGATGTTAATTCAGCCCCATTCCACAAGCTGTCTCATGCGTTGTTTCACCTCCGGCCAGCTCATGCGGCTCCTGAGCTGTCCTGGTCTTTGGAGTGGGTGCTCTCTTCTTTCTTCTCCTCGGTGTGTAGTAGCCCCTTTGGATCAGGATTGTTTTTCTAAGGCTGTTAGCTTTGGCCTCTGGAGGTCAGGTCAGGAAGCTTCATGCTCTCTGGTGCAAGGGTTTTTGCTCCTTCGGTCCTGGTGATAGGTTTGTTCGGTTGCAGCCGTCTCCTTTTCTGGCAAAGAATGAGACTGCTGCTTTCCAGAGGGGTGCTTGGGTTGTTGATGCTTGGTTTGTCAGGCCGGGGGTGCATCATGTGTTGTCCAGTTGAGACTCTCCGCCATTATTTGCATGCTACCACTTCAGTGGCTGGGGATGCACTATGGGTTGACCCGGTTTCCCTCCTTCCCTGTTCCCGGGCTTGGGTCTTCCAGGTCGTTCGCAGGGTTATTAAGTAGCCAACGTGCTGTCTATGCCTGTGCACACGACGTTCATAAGTTTGCTGCTTTGGCTGCTGTCTTTGGCAACATGTCTTGGGTTGACATTCAGGCACAGGGTTGTTGGAGGTCGAACAAGGTCCTGGCCGCTCGCTACCTTGGAGCAAGGTGAGGTGGGGACCTGGTAGGGCCTGCTTTGCATTGTGTCGGCGGTTGCAGTCAGTTGTCTCGATTTCACATTGAGGAGTGAGGACTGACCGCCTCCCGGGTAAGTCCCCAGCTGTGTTTTTCTTGTCTTTGGGTAGTTAGCTCCGGGTAGCCCCCAGAAAACCAGCGTTGAATGTAATGAAACACCATTTTCTGGATGATACCCGGAGGTTCCCCAGCATCCCTCCCTCCCCTTGGCGGTGTTTTTGTGTGTTTTTGAAATCCAGCCTAAAAACTGCCGGTTGGATTGCCAGCACGAGGGTCTGGGTCTCCCCCTTTCCCCTCCGGGGGGTGGGGGGAGTGCAGGGTTGTGCAGACAGTGGCACGGTAATGTGATGACGTCAGGCTCGTTTGCTAATTTTCATTTGGGGAGGTCTGTCCACTTGTTCAGCTTTCGGTAACAATATTTTCAACAGAATAGGGGTTTGTTTTGGGGTGCCTATCATTCTGGGTGCCAGACCCGGTCGATGGTAGACATAGCATACTTCCAACCACACTGGGGTTTCTATAGGCCATTGCTCCTCGTGCCTCTCTGAGGGGGGCCAGGTTCTGGCCTATGGTCCCCGGTAGGCAAGAACTCCATGCACGTTGACTGATGCCAGAAAGCTAATAGATAGATATCAGCCTGGATAGGGCCGGGGAGCCTCCAGGTTTCACCAAGAAAATGGTGTTTCATTACATTCAACGCTGTTTTTTTCTAATAGGTGATTGGTGAGAATGAGGTGTCTGTTCCCACACACCTCTACAAAGTTATTGTAGCACGAAGTGGCAACGACACAGTTGCTGGGTCCTTTGTTGTGCCAAACAAACCTATTGACTACTCACATCACCTTAAGGAATTTCAAGTGTCACTGGATTACTTGGAGAAGAGAGTTGGTATTAAGTTTTATACCAATATGAAAAGGTAAGGTTGAAAATCTTTGGGAAGTTGTTTTAAATTTTTTTTTCTGTTTCTGCAGTTAATGCCCTCTTCATATGGCAGAAAGACTTATCACTTTACCATGCCTACTTCACCTGATTAATCTTTGTATGTGTTTCATCCCCATTTCTGGGGGGAGCCCTGTCGGCTCCCTGGAGCTATACCAGGCTAATGTCAAACTTTGGCATCAGTCATGTGTATGGAGTTCTTAGGGCCTACCGGGGATCATGGCCAGAACCTGGCCCCATCAAAGAGGCAAGGGAAGCAATGGCCTATTGAAACCCCTATGTGGTTGGAAGCATTCGATGTCTGCCATTGACTGGGTCAAACATCCAGAAAGGTAAGCATCCCAAAACTAACCCCTATTCTGGTAAAAATTGCTACCAAAAGCTGAACTAGTGGATAGAACTCCCCAACAGAAAACAAGCAAACAAGTATGACATCACACGTCACCGCGCCTCTGTCTGCGCAGCTCCCCCCTCTCCGGGAGGGGAGGGGGGAGCTGCGTTTGATGCATTCACAAATGTTTGTTTGATGCATTCCCAAATTATTTGATGGTCCCATCAGAAAATTGGGAACATCAAATAATCTGGTGTTCCCATCACTGAAATATAAGAAAAACAGTTAAAAAACAAAATGAAAAAATGAAAAATAAACTATAATCATGAAATGAATGGTATGGTAAACAACACAGCTCAGTTCCAATGCAATGTCACACAAAATAGTCAAATGAAAATGAAAATAAATCAAAATCTATGGAAATTAAATTTACCAATGCAATAGGAAACATTGAAATGGAATCGTAACATAGATAGTATAACGTGTGTTGCTATTACATGCAACAGATGGTGCTGTTTTTCAAAAAACAACCGTCTATTCGAATGCAACGTTGTGTCAAAATTTCAAAGCAATCGGTAAAGAGGCTTCCAAGATTTCCCTCACATGAAAAACAGTTTAAAAAACAACGCATGTTTTTGTCCCTTCACAGACGTGGTATCTATATAGTACAGTGGTACCTCGGGTTACGAATGTCCCTGTTTATGAACTTTTCGGGTTACAAAGTCAGGTTACGGAGTCAGCCGGAGGGACCGGCTGACTCCGTAAGCCTAACCATACTCGACAAACCTGTGACCCAGATTTGTTTCTTAAATGTACATCATCATATATTTTTGGCAGGCAGGCAGGCTGAGAGGCAGAGAGGCAGGCTGGATGGTAGGCAGAGGGGGGCAGGCTGGATGGTAGGCATGGCAGAGAGGGGAGGCAGGCTGGATGGCAGGCTGGATGGCAGGCAGAGAGGGAGGCAGGCTGGCTGGCAAGCAGGGAGGCAGGGATAGTCACGTGGTTGAACCGCGTGACCTTTAAGAAAGAGTATGGGATGTAGCGGGGGTGGGTTTGTCGGTGGTGGGGGAGAAACCGGCTCACTCCCGAATTTTAAGCCTAACACACTTGACCCGTTAGCAGAATGGCAGGGAGGGAGGCAGGCACAGAGTGAGACTGGCTGGCATGCAGGCTGGCATGCAGGCTGGCATGCAGGCTGGCATGCAGGCTGGCATGCAGGCTGGCATGCAGGCTGGCATGCAGGCTGGCATGCAGGCTGGCAGGCAGGCTGGCTGGCTGGCAGGCAGGCAGGCAGGCAGGCAGGCAGGCAGGCAGGCAGGCAGGCAGGCAGGCAGGCAGGCAGGCTGGCAGGCAGGCTGGCAGGCAGGCTGGCTGGCAGGCAGGCTGGCAGGCAGGCAGGCAGGCTGGCAGGCAGGCAGGCAGGCTGGCAGGCAGGCTGGCAGGATGTTCCTGCAGGCTGGCAGGAAACATCCAGGGGATGTTTGCCAGACGTCTTAATAATCAGTTAGGAACAATTAAGAACTTTTATAAAGCAGATCAGGACTTCACTTTAGTGAGTACAAACAAAATACGGTCGCATTTACTCTAGGAACCTGTCGATTTTTTCCCCCAGAGTTTTTCTGCAAATTTTTTGTAATTTTTTTTTTTTACATTTCTAGTTTATTTTTCCCTTTATTTCTCATTTATGAACTTACATGTTAACCAACAGGTCTCATCCCCAAGGGGTTCGGAAACCAAATGGTGCTCTGTATTACTACCTCTATACTACACATTGTTGTGTATCTTGGTAGGTGCATGTTGGCAATTCTCATGCTCAAGCTAGGTTTGGCTATGTTCCTGTTCAGTTCCCTGTTGTTGAACAGGCCCAGTGTTCTGTTATGGGTCTGGGCTCTTCATCTTCTCTTGCCTGTCTCAACCAGCTTCTGTGTTGTAGTGTCTGCTGGTGGGTGCAGTTTTCCAATCACCCGTTCCTGCCCCTCCAGTTCCTTTTCGTTGGGAAGGGGGGGGAAAGCTTGGATTTTGGCCGTGGCTACGGCCTTTTCTTTGTGTTCCTTTTCCGGACAGTACATTTTTGTTTTAGTGCAGTACATGTCTTATGTAGTTCTCCTCATTCCTTCCTTTGTGATGCGTGCGTCGTTCTTCCCTGCTGGGACTGGTGGTGCCGCTTCTGTGGATTGCAGTGTCACTGTTTTTCGCTTAGCGTTCTGGCGCGTGGTGCTCGCTTCCTTGCTGGCCTCTGCCTGGACCCTAGTTAGGTTTTCGTTGCTGTTTGCAGAGTCTGCGGTTCAGCAGTTTCTGTAAGCGGCTTTTTCTCGTCTTTCGCTGTCATACTTCTTGTTCCTTGACAGCCTTGGTTCCGGCGCTGCTTGTTCGGTGCCCGCACCCAGGGGTTTTCCCATGGTTCTGCCTCTTTTCAATGATCGGTCTACTCCGTGACGGGGCTGGTTCGGTCTTCTCCTCGAGTCTTCAAGTCTGGTGATCTTGACTTGCGTCTCTCACCCTCTGTTAGGTGATCTTTAATAGTGTCTCTCACCCTCTGTTAGGTGATCAAGGCTTCTTTAATAATGTCCCAACTGCTTGCTTCATCTCGGCAGCGCCAGGGGTTTTCTGGCGGTCCTTCCTTTTCTTTTCTCTTCGTAGGTGTGCTGTGCTTTTTGTTGACGTGTTCTTGTCCTTCTCTCATGGAGGTTCAGGACTGTCATTTTGCCGCATACTGTCGCCTTGTCTCATACAGCACTGGCGGAGCCACTTCGAATTGCTACGGCTTTGTTGTTCCTTCTGCACCGTTTGCGGGCTGTCTCGGGCATTGTTCACCTCCAGCCTGCTCATGCACCACCTGTGCAGTCCTTCTCTTGGACAAGGTGCTCTTTTCTCTCTTCCCCTCAGTTTGGTTCAGGTTTGTTGGTAGTTTCTACTTTTTTGGGTTCTGGTGATTGGTTTGTTCATTTGCAGCTGTTTCTTCCTTTCTGGTGGGGTTGGGTCAGCTATTTTCCAGTGGAGTCCCTGGGCGTGTTGCTGCTTGGTTTGTTGGCCGGGGGGTGCATATTCTTATGTCCAGTTGTGGCTTTCCGCAGTTATTTGCACGCCACGGCCTCTGTAGCCGTGGCGTGCGCTTCGGGTTGATCCGGTTTCCCTTCTTCCCTGTTCTTGGGTTTGGGTCTCTCCGGTCATCTGCAGGGTCTTTTGGTCTAGCCAGCTTGCGGTCTCTCCCCGTGCCCATGACGTTCGTATGTTTGCTGCGCTTGCTGCCGTCTTTGGTGCCGTGTCTTCGGCTGCCTTTCGCGCATGGGTTTTTTGGTGGTCAAACAGGGTCCTGGCCGCACGCTACCTCGTAAATGTTCCTGGGCCTAGTTGGGCCTGTGTCACTTTGGATTGGCGGTTGCAGCCTGTCTTGACTTTGTGTTGGGATCTGAGCACCGACTGCCTCCTGCATAAGTCCTTCTGTTTTTGTCTTTGGTGAAGTAGCTCCGGGAAATCGTAGGGATCCCCAGAAAACCAGCATTGAATGTAATGAAACACTATTTTCTGGGCAAGTCCCAGAGGCTTCCTGGCAACCCTCCCTCCCCTCCCTCCGGTCGGCGGTTTTCGCGTATTTTGATATCCAGCCTCAGAACTAGGGAGTGGCTCGCCGGCGCCGAGGTCTGGGGTTCCTCATTCCCCTCCCGTGGAGGTGTGTGCTGCGCAGACATGCGGCACGGCTCGTGTGATGTCATGCTCATTTGCTCGTTTTCATTTGGGGAGTTCTGTCCACTCGTTTGTCTATTTTCATCATTTTAACCAGAATAGGGGTTTGTTTGAGGGCGCTTACTTTTCTGGGTGCCTGTCCCGGTTGATGGCAGATATAGAATGCTCCAAAATCACATGTGCATTTTTATAGGCCATTGCTCCTCGTGCCTCTCTAAGGGGGCCAGGTTCTGGCTCATGGTCCCCGGTAGGCCTAGAATTCCACCCACTTCGACTGATGCCAAAGATAAGGATATCCATATCAGCCTGGATAGCTCCGGGGTGCCTCCGGGACTCACCCAGAAGATGACGTTTCATTACATTCAGTGCTGTTTTTTTTCTTCAATCAATCTTTCTAACACAAACAGGAACATTACATAAGGATATAACTTGTATTATATCCATGTTATATCCTTATAACTTGGATATAACTTTGTATATATGCCATATAATAATTACCACTAGAAATCATTATCGTTACTAATTTTCAGAGACGAAGCAAAAGATCTTTGTGAAGATACAGGTTGCAATCTGTTGTCCAAAACACAGATGGATCAGTTAATCTTTACTCAGAGGCTGAAGAGGGTCAACAGTCTACAGAAGCTAATAAAATTATGGAAGGAAATTCAGGTAAGGTGCTTGGCAGAATGGGCCTTGCACAGTTTAATATTAAATTTTAAGCTGTATGCACTACAATATATGCAGTACATAAACAATACTAGATTTGTTTATATCTTGATAACAAATTTAAAAATCACCTAAAATTTATTTTACACTTAATTACACTAAATGCTAGTACCAATGAACTAAGTCCATATGCTTGAGCTAGTTTACAATGTCATAAGCATTTACCTTTTAGCCACAATCTCTGGTGGCCGTGGCAGGAATTTGAAGCCATGTGGTAGTGAAGAGCTTCCCCATTCTTTCCAGATGCATTTTGCATTATAGCACTGTCTTGGGTTTAATACTCTTTGGGAGAAAAAGAATCTCATGTTACTTGCTTTGTATTATGGCTTAGCATGCTTGCTTTATTCATTTTTGTTTTATTGTTTCTAATAGTTTTTCTTTATTTTGAAATGCACCGATAGGTAGAATAGTTTTGCAGTAATGATGGGATAGGTATACAGGCAAATAAAAATAATTGTAAAATTATGCCATTTGTTTGGTTAGCATTTTAGTAACAGGTACTATATTTTAAAATTTGTAAAAGTCATGAATCTGGTACAGTATTTGTTAGCTCTTCATCATTCCAGATTTCCATTGCCTTATTGAACCGTGAAAATCCTCTTGAATGTACAAATTTGCTCTAGTTCCCTCATCTGTTGTAGACAACTTTGCTGTTTTCTGGCAGCAGGTATGATCCACTATTTGTCTCACAAATATTTACTATAATTTATTATGTTCCTGGGCAAATGCACTCAGTTGCTTCCTTAGGCAATGTCCTGGTTTTTCCAAGGACAGAACTGAGCATAGTTTTTGCTGTGGCCCAGCAGAGATCTTTTCACACATTTCTGTCAAGTTACATTGTACTGGGGCCAGGGAGACTGGAGAAAATTTTATTCATCTTGGAGTGACGTATAGAAGGTTTGTTCTCACTCAAAACCCTTATGAAAACTGCTCGATTTCAAATAGACTGCTGAGTAGCCTTCTACTACTGGCTAGTTAGTCTGTCTGGCTACTAATCGCAACCTCCACCAGAACTTCAAATCGACACAGTAAACCACAGTTACTCACTTGCGCGTGTTTATCATTTGAAACTTTTGTGGTTTATGATATTAATGGAGGCTTTAAATGTACATTATTTCCAGAGTCATTTACATATGGATTCTTTCACTGACAGGTCTTTGAGATGTATCTTTTTTGTGCTGGTTCAATTTGTTCCCAAATTATGACAATCTGCTTTCCAGTTTATTAACTACAGTACTTACTTTCAAAGTGCCTTGGGTCTAGGTCTTGGACCAAAGCATTAGTGCTGGGCACACTGTTTTGGGATATTCAGTTGTCACGTCACCTGTGTGGTTATGAAATTCATGCACTTGCCCAAGAGTCTTGCTTGTGTTCTTTGACTAATTTTATTTTTGTTGGTTACCAACTACCCACACCCATCCTTGCTCTGGTTCACCTCCCTCCGTGGTGCCTCCTTGCTGTGGTGAGGGGCTCACATACACCTCCCTGGGACCGGTGTGGGTTGCCTTTGCCCAGGCAAAGGTAATAGGATGGTAATCCATCCTATCATTTTTCTAGTAGACGCAATATTTGCTTGATTGTGCTCCCTAAACATTAGGTCGTCAGATATCATTATTCCCATATCCTTTACATGCGGCTTTCCTACTGTGGGAAGATTTGATTGTGTTTTGTATGGATCGAGCATGTGGATTCTGCTGGGCACAGGGCGAGGCATGCTCAGTTTACCAGTGTATCCCGCCTAGTGACAACTGCACTTCAATTCTTTGTGAAGAATTTCATTGTTTTTCTGCTTTTCTGGGGGAAGCCCCGTCAGCTTCCAAGAGCTATCCAGACTGATATAGATATACAGTATATTAGATTTCTGGCATCAGTCAATGTGCATGGAGCTCTAGACCTATTGGGGACCACAAACCAGAGCCTGGCCCCTCCTCAGAGAGGCACGAGGAGCAATGGTCTATAGAAACCCCTGTCTGGTTGGAATCATTCTATGTCTGCCATCGACCGGTTTAGGCACCCAGAAAGGTAAGTGCCCCAAAACAAGCCCCTATTCTGGTGAAAAAATTACTGAAAAGATCCAAACGAGTGGACAGAACTCCCCAAATGAAAACATGTAAACTAGCATGACATCACCACGTTGCTGCACAATCCCCCCCCCCCCACCCCGGGAGGGGAGGATTCTGGGTTGGGATCTAAATACTGTATACAGTCTTCATTTCTTAGTGTTTTCAAAATACCTGTACCAGTAGTGGCTTATTTTTTTTCATTGATTAGTGCGCTCTTGTACTTCATTCTCAGAACTCGGTAAATTCTGCCTAAGTAGCTTAATTACCATTAATCCTATCATTTTATGTAAATATCGTATAATAGTTATTACATATTGTAATTAACCATTTCTTTATATCTAAAATGAATGTCTGACTTTGTCTAAAATAGGTGACCAGATGCTTGGGGCTAGTCTCCATGGGGGAGGGGTTGTAAAAGTGTAAAGTGACACCATTTAATAAATACAGACCCCCCCCCCTTTGGGATTTTCACAGCCTGTTCTCATGGTAAAGTGATTAGAATGAGACGTCAGCTTTCCTCTCATGCCTCCTGAATAGTTATATACATATTGTGATGGTCAAAAAGCATATTGATGGTTCCAATGATATACTGTATGTATACTATACTTATAAACGGGTACGTGAACCTTTGTCCTAAACAGTATATTCAATTTATAATATAATAGTTATAAATTGATGGTTTAAAATATGTAAAGTCTAAGAGTATATCAAAGAAAACTTATTTTTACCATAAAAAAAATCCAAGCCTTCATTTTAAATTGTAGGGAATACTAAATAGTTTTCAAATGTCATATTTCATATGTTTTGGAATAATATACTGCTTCAACCTAACCTGAATATAGAATAGACAATAGCACCAATTACCAATATGTAGTGGATTTGAAGTGATTACCACATGGGTACAAACCCCGAGGACGGGTTGGATTTTCGTCAAATTAAATTGAGTATATGTTTTCCATAACTTTTAGCAATTTTGGTGCTCCGTATTAAATTTTCTTAGATGGGGACAGAGAGATAAAGAAGAAATTGGGCAGAGAGAGAGAGAGGGAGGGAGGGAGGGGGAAGACTCAGACAAGTATGCCACTTCTAGTGTTTGCATAAAGGAAACTGTAACAAACTTGTGTATTTGATAGATTTGCTTCTATGTACTAAAAATAATTCACACACATCAACTTGTTACAGGAGAGAGAGATTCATATTGATACAAAAATACAAGAGCTCTATCAAAAACGTTTGTTGGATCTCTCTAGAAAAGACTCTGAAATGGGAAATTTGGTAACAGCTGTACAGACTGTTGAGGTACCTTGTCAAGAAGTGACTACAATCAAACCTTTAAGTGATATGGACTCTACATTTGAGCCACAAATTTCAACACGAGTTGGAGCAAGTGGGTAAACATTTTCATCAATAAAAAAAGAACTGTAATCCATTTAGTATAAAATAAAGTTTTTCAAATGTTTATGCAGTATTTGCTACTCCTTTTTCCAACATATAAAATTGACAAATATGTTAATTAAATGCAGTTGAGAAAAGATACAAGGAATGGGTGGGAAAAATTGTCCTAGAAAACATTAAAAAGTATTACTGTACTGTGCAAATAAACTTATAAGTAACATTGACAAAATTTGAGCAAAATACAAGTACACCGAGTCCTTGCTCAAATTCCTAGATGGGCCGAACAGTGGTTGGTGCAAGTTGTTCAGTGGAATATATGTTCGTATTAGTGAAGATTGTTCGCCCAAGCCACCATTGGATGTTACCACCACCAATCTGTTACTATCCACATAATTAATTGTAAACTATTGTGCAGTGTATGAAAATTCCAAAAATAATTTGTAAAATACTATATTTATTAAGTACCCATACTTATAAAATTGAGAGAACAGCTGAAAGTAAATATCCATTGTACGAGTGTTACTGAGGATCGTTCATGCCTAAACAAATTTTAGTGTCGAGTCAAAATATTAACAACATATTTTGATTAAAATACAACAATTATAATTAAAATAATTATAATTGTATAGTATATACAACATTATACAACATAGTACAGTATATATATACAATGGGGCCTCGACTTACGATGCTAATCCGTTCCCAGAGACGGATCGTAAGGCGAAGAGATTTTTCCCATAAGAAATAAAGGGAATTGAATTAATCCGTTCCCTACCCTCCAAAATATTAACATACAAATACATTTTATACTGAATACAATGTTTTTTTCTAACTACAATATAGTACCAAAGTTTCTCTTACCTTTATGGAGGGCTCTTGATGGAAGATGGTGATGAGGGGGGAGGAGGAGAGTTGTTACTGTTTGGAAAGGGGAGTCCCCTTCCATTATCACATCAGGCAGTGATGTTTTCTCTGGGGTACTCTCTCTCCTATGCTTTGCCTGAATACCACTAGGACCTGGTTGTGGTTCAGTGCTTGTTTGTCTCACTACAAATTTGTCAAGAGACATTCGTTTTAACATTTGTCTGTAATGATGCATCACAGTGTCATTGAATAGGTTAAGGCAATGACCTACTGCAGCATGGTTTGGGTGAGTCGTTTCAGCAAAGGTTTGCAATTCTTCCCATGCTGCACACATTTTCTTAATTTTTGAGGAAGAGACAGTCTGTACTGGCACATCCTCCCCTGAAGAAATTTCCTTAGCTGCCTCTTCTTGCTGCTCCTTTTGAAGGGCTTGGAGTTCTTCGGTGGTCAGTTCTTCATTGTGTTCTTCCACCAACTCCTCCACATCAGCACCATCCAACTCCAAACCCAATTGCCAACCCAGAGAAACAATTTCCTCAACAAGAGGCACTTCAGGTTCAGGCTCAAGCCCCTCAAATTCTCGTTCGGCAACATATATATCAAGATATCACACATTCAGGCCACAGTTTTCTCCAGCCAGAGATCATGGTTCTTAGTCACTTCTTGCCAGGCTTTGTCAACAAGTTTTAAAGCACTATAAATGTTAAAATGGTTTTCCAGAACTCTCTGAGGGTGAGGTTTGTGGCATCCGTCATTTCGACACATCCCCGGAAAAGTGCCCTTTCATAAAGTTTCTTAAAATTGGCAATGATTTTCTAGTCCATAGGCTGAAGTAGAGGAGTGGTGTTGGGAGGAAGGAACTTTATTGTAACAAACCTAAATTCCTCATCCAATGAATCCTCCAAGCCTGGAGGATGGGCAGGAGCATTATTGAGGAGAAGCAGGGCCTTGAGTGGCAAACTGTTCTCCTGCAAATATTTTTTGATGGCAAGGCACACCACCAAATTCACCCACTCCGTAAAAAATTGCCTAGTCACCCATGCCTTAGCATTAGCCTTCCACATCACACACATTTTGTGTTTCTGCACATTATATTTTTTGAAAACCCTTGGATTTTCGAAAGGATACACAAGCAAGGGTTTAATTTTCAAATCGCCACTCGCATTACCACACAACACAAGAGTAAACCGATCTTTCATAGGCTTGTGTCCAGGCAATGACTTCTCCTCGTTGGTAATGTATGTTTTCTTTGGCAATGTTTTCCAGAATAGCCCTGTCTCGTCACAATTAAACACTTGTTGTGGTAGGTATGCCTCACTCTGCACAAAATTTTTAAATTCGCCAATGAATCTTTCAGCCGCTGGTTTGTCTGAGCTGGCAGCCTCCTCATGCCTCACAACACTATGAATTCCACTTCTTTTTCTAAATTTCTCAAACCATCCCCTGCTCGCCTTAAACTCTCTCACTTCTGCATCACTCGTTCCAGGGGTTTTCTTTAAAAGGTCTTCATGCAATTTTCTTGCCTTTTCACAAATGATGGTGTCCGAAATGCTATCACCCGCTAACTCCTTGTTGTGTATCCAAATTAATAATAACTGTTCAACATTCTCAAGTGTTTGCGTTCTATGTTTCGTGATTATTGATACGCCTTTTGCCACTTTAGCACTCATAATGTCCTTTTCTTAGCGAGTATGGTGGATATCGTTGACTGAGATTTGTTGTACTGCCTAGCTAGATCACCTACCCGCACACTATCTTCATATTTGCGAATGATCTCTTGTTTCTGCTCTATGGTCATTCTTACATGGGATCTCATATGTTGAGATCTGGCGATCCTGTTGATGACTTTCCTGGAACTCATGACGTGATATATAATAATTACTTTAATGTTCAAAATGCAAAAATTCACCACAAAAGGGGAATTTCTTATAGGCGCGATCGTCAATAAGCAGGCAGCTGTAGTAAACTGAGGCAGGTCGGCCGCGTGACCGGGAACCACACGCTCGGTCGACCCGAACGTGTACCAACAAATATCGGAAGTCAACAACACCATCGGATGTTGAGTCGCATTTTTCGATGAAATTTACATTGTAACTTGAAATTATTATAAGTAGGGGCAATCGTATGTCGAGGTGCCACTGTACTATTATCCAACATAGTATAATTGTTGTATTTTAATTAAAATACAACCATTATACTAGTATTGTCAGACAACTATACAAAAATTCCTGTGAGAGTTAATTATTACATTATCTGTATTACAGTTTGCCTTTATTAACTATATATCTTACTGCAGCATCCATGGTGCTGAAGATGACAAGTGAAAAAAAATTTCCATTGGGCTGAAAATGACAAGGCAGGAGTGTTGTGCGTAGGACTGAGAAGAGAGCGTTGGCTTAATGATTCTGTAGGTAAATGAGGGTTGGAGGGAGACTAATCCTCACCACAGTTTAGAGATAAAAGTTCTTAATAATTTTAATAAATTTTTGGTTCCAATAATTGTATATTTATCATTTTGAGACCAAAATGAAGAATACAAACTAATAAAGTGCTGTGAATTTTTATATGACAGTTTGACCAACCAAGTGCTCAAATCTTGGTCAGTAGTTTATCTGTGCAGCCATGAATGGTTGTCGTTATAATTTTTGTATAGAATTGTTTTCCAAATACTTGTTTTATCATATGCCATATTCAAAACTAAAAATGCATACTAAATGAGCATTAATGATGTAATGGGCAATTAGTTTGTCACTAATCCTTGGCATATATCCGAGTTGTATGACATCTTCATTATTTTTCATTGTAGGCTATATGTGAATTGCAAGAGATGAGTGGCTGACTGAACGCACACAAATTAATAGTGTCAAGGTGAAGCACCGAATTATCAAACTTTTGTGAACCTTTGTTTCCTTTGCCAGTCAAATCATTTACTTCACAATATTTAAGTAATGTAGTGCCAATTCAGTTAATTTGCAGGTGAATGTTTATTGGTGCAAAAAACCCATATGTTGACAGCATCTTCACTTTACATAAATTACTTTGCTGCCAATTAAAGACAGGCTTCAAGGATACTTTTAAAACTTCAGATGAAATAGCTATAGCTGCCACAACCACCAGCACATCCACCACCATGACCCAGGAGTGCACGAGCCCAAGCTGTACAGAGCCCCAACTAAGGGAAAAGGCTGGCAAGGAAGAATAGAATGCCAAACCACAAAGTGAGCAGGAGGGGCACTTGAGCCCAGACCAAGATGCCTGGATGGCAAGATAGACAAGGCAGCCAGTCCTCCAGGTCATCCATGGTTAGGTTTAGCTCGCAGCAATGATCGTGCGCCATGGCTGCCACAGGTTGTTATATTATTGCAACCAGTTGTTTGCTTTGATCCTTTACATTTCTGTCTTGGTCTTGGGTATATCTCAGATCCCTAGGCTCCATTCATCTTCGACTTTGGTACTGTAGACAAGATCTCCTGCAGGTTCAGAGAGCCATTCAGAATTCTCTCCAGGGAAAGTGAGCCAGTCAGAGTCTAGTACCTGTACCACCAAGTCCAGAGAGGTATGAACTGTACATGTAACAGTGGGAAGAGGTAGTAATTGTAATTAGTGGTTAAGTGGATTTAACAAACTCGTCTCATTAAGCTAATGAGAGTTTGGAGTGAGTATATTATTGATCAAATATGCTCTTTACAGTACCAACTCTTGGTAGATCTGGGGAGGTCTAAGAGGCCTAGTGTGGTTTCGAACCTCTGGCAACATCAGTGGTTAAGCTCGGTAAGCTACTGTAGATGCCTTTCCAGAATTTTGTTCACCCTACACAAGACTAAAGGCATAATAAAGCTACCTTGATTGAAGCAGCAAAGGCGGGTAGATGCTGCTTTGCAAGTGAATGAAGGCACAGTCTCCCCTCTCAATGTTATCCTTGAGTGGTGTCATCAGCTAAATCCTGGACAGCAAAGACCCGGCCAGCCTCCAGCAGCCTCTTGATGGGCTCGTTTAAAAAACATAGATGTTCGACCTGTGGATAGCATCAGCTGCATTATTACCCGTGAACATCGTTAGTCCTATTATCATTTATAGGTACTGTAAACCTCAATGACCTGTGCACCTCCTTCCCCCCCCCCACCTATGCACTGTCAGGCACCTTCCCCCCCCTCTGCACTGCCAGGATTAAAGGCGACAAGATCGGCCAAGCGTCACACCCTCACCTCTACACAGGGCAAACTAGTTAGTCAATGCTTGGGCAACCACCTCTAGCTTCAATAATCTTTCCTCAGACAAACAATTCAGATTAAATGCTGGTTACGGAGGTCGAGAAAGACTCGTTGACTTCATGCTCCACAAGGAAGATGAATGCAACGGGCCATTTACTGAGTTTGAATTACTTGTGGCCCTAAACAAAGGTAAAACCACTTTTCCCCAGTGAAGATGGTATCACTCGATATATTGCGTTTGCTTCCTCTAGTACCAGGAAATCCCCTTCTTGATATGTATAATATCAGCTACGTTACTGGGAACTTCGTATCTCTCGGACCAACAGTATAATCATTCAAGTTCCCAAGCCAAATCAAGATAATGCGTTCCGCCCAATTTCCCTTACTGGCTGCATTTGGAAAACATTCGAGAGAATGGTCCTAAACCGTCTCCTCCATAGAATAAGAACCATGCTCTCACCCCAGATATTTGGCATCATGCATGGAAGGAATATGCATCATTGCATCACCACCTTTCTTACCCTGCACACTGAAAAGTCATATACCACCTTCCTAGTACTCAAATCTGCCTTTTATATTGCAAACCGACATGTTATCTTGAGTGAGCTTTCGAGAATGAATATTGATGGTCGGCTTCTGTGTTAGATCAGAGGTTACTTATCCAATAGGAAGTCATCAGTGTTTTTCCAGGTGCATAGAAGTGTAACAAGAGACTTCGAACTAGGAATCCCACAGGGATACCCTCAGTCCTAACTCCCACATTGTTTAATATTATTTAATATCTTGATAAACACGCTGTTAAACTCTGTACCGAGCAAACCCAACGTGCACATCATCAGCTATGCTGATGATATAATGATACATCACTGGGTATGCTAACACGCAGAACACTCTTAACTTTGTATTAGACTCATGTCAGGACCCAGGTTTAGTTATCTCAGCAGAGAAAACAAACATACTAAATCGGCGCCCACCCAGGCAGGGCGGAGCTTTTCGCAAGATGCAACTGTATGATGGCTCCCAGCTTGACTATATAAACAGATTCAAATACCTTGGCCTTGAGGTGCCACTGTATGGTCCTGTTGTATTCAAACTTTGTTGTCAGTATAAAGAGAGGCTCCGAGCTCTCAAGGCTGTTGCAGGTTATCACTCGGGCTATATCACTCGGAGGGGAGCCGGTCGACCGAGCGGGCAGCACGCTGGCTTGTGATTCTGTGGTCCTGGGTTCGATCCCAGGCGCCGGCGAGAAACAATGGGCAGAGTTTCTTTCACCCTATGCCCTTTTACCTAGCAGTAAAATAGGTACCTGGGTGTTAGTCAACTGTCACGGGCTGCCTCCTGGGGGTGGAGGCCTGGTCGAGGACCGGGCCGCGGGGACACTAAAAAGCCCCGAAATCATCTCAAGATAACCTCAAGAAAGAAGATGGTACCAATGTCAGAATTGTCAAAATGATGTATCTTGCATACATCAGATCTTTAGTGGATTATGCTGCACCTCTGCTTGCTCTGATGCTTGAATGGAAGCTTGGAAAGCTCGAAGCCTTAAAGATAATCCTTGGGTGCCCTCGTACCACAAAGATACTTAACATGAGAAAGGAACTTAATTAATATTCCGAGTGTTATTGATCGTGTTACTGAAATTAACTGTCAAATTGATATAAAAATGCTTAGGCTTGCTCATCCTAACCCTTGCAAAGAAGCCCTCCAAAATTTCTTTATTGAAGGTCAACATTGTTCGAAATGGATAACTGAAACTTTAACTCAACTCAGAATGTATCAGATTTATTATTTATACCAAGAAAGACAACAACGGCACTTTCCTGCACCGTGGGAGATTACACTCTTTTTCCAGTTTTAATCCCTCCCTTTCCACCCAAGAAGCAAATTAGAGATCAGCCCAAGCTTTGTCTTGAGACAAAGTACGTCCATATTAAGCCATATTGATGCTCTGTCAACAGACCATTCTCTCGGTCAAATCATGTACAATGATGGTTCCCTACACTGCCCTAGCTGGAAGTGCAGTTGTCCTGATAAAGGGCGATGGCTTATATTTTGAGTGGGGAGTCAAAACAACCGGGCTTCTACCCTTCAGACAGAACTATTTGCCTTACTTCTTGCACTGAAATGTGTACAAGTCTCCAAACTTGATACATTAATTGTAAGTGACTCATTATCATCTTTAATTGCTCTCAAATTTTTAAGACATAACTGTAACGTGCTCTTGTCTGAAGCTAGACACAAATACAACAAAATTATTAATGATGGTAACAGAGTCCATTTTATGTGGACTCCATCTCATGTTGGCCTCCGAATGCATGATAGAGCTGATGAGTTAGCCAAAGAATCTGCCTTTAAAGGAGAAATTGAGTATAACCTTGGATTGTCAATAAGCAGTCTGAGAGCAATACCTCACCAAGAACTTCAATAAGACCTTGTAGCTTTGAGGCAAAGTAAAATCGACACCAGTAATTCCATCTATCATCATACTATCATGCAAGAGGAGCCACACATCTATGGATTATCCAATAAAATCAGCAAACTTCTAGATGTTACTACTGCTCGGCTTAGACTCGGTTACAAGTATCTCTGGGAATTCTCATTATCTACTGATGTAGACCTGACCAAATGTAAAGTATGTCAACAAAATTATTCGCACACTCTCCGTCACTGTTATGGAGTGCGAAATGATACGCGAGTTCAGAGAAAATTATATAACAAATGTTCCAGTGATGTGTAAATATTTCATTCAAAATTATCTTCAACCAGAACTCTTAGCCAAATATCCCCAGCTCGCTAACTGTAGGTAGTAATTAAGTGATTGTAACCTATCCACCGCTGCCCACTGGATGGGGGGCGGTGTGCAGGACAAACATCCATTGAGACACTAGCTCTCCACATATGTCAGTTGCTTAATTTAGGAACTGTACTTGTGGTCGATCTCGCCCCCGTTGATGATGTGACGATGTGTATTGAATTTTGTAACTAGCTCATCAAGATTGTAACCTGCTTAGCTAAATGAATCGTGGGGTTCAGTCCCTGAGCCCATTATGTTCCTCTGTAACCCTTTCCACTACCGCCCACAAGATGGATATGGGGGTCCATAATAAATCAACTAAACTAACTTGAACACTTTTCTTTGCACTCGTTGGCCACTGTTCTATTCACATATGGCTCTAAGTCTGCCGATGGTGTTGGCTGACTCGTTGTCTTTCCTGACCAATCCAATGTGCAGCCTACCCCTGGAGACTAACATTTCCACAGCGGAACTTTATGTAATCTTGTATTCACTTCAACTGTTTTACTGACGCCAGCATTTCTTTGTGTAAAATACTGAACAATTTGGATATTAATCCAGGCCACTTCTTTTAAATGTCAAATTTAACACATTCAAGAGGCAACGGCTTTAAGCTCAACAAGCAACAACGCAGGACAGTAAGCAGGAGATGCTTTTTCTCCCATTAGGTTATAAACCCTTGATACAGCCTACCCGCCGAATCCGCAGGAACAACGTTGAAAACCGCCAGTTTCCTGTCATCTCTCTAGACCACTAGAGAGATGGTGGCCCTCAGGTAAATATATAAATAAAAAAAATAAATAAGTCTACCCAAACGTAGATAATCAAAGAAACACGATTCTGACAGCATGGCAAGCGACCTGCTGACGTAATCAAGTACCTCTTAATGTGCAAGTGGTCAGTGCGAGGCCGGACCCCATCAGCGACGTTACGCTCCCCACCACAACACTTCCTGCAGTCTTTACAAGGTATCTTTAAGAACACGGAACGTCTCATTAACTGGTAGGAAGGCAAGTCTCATCGTACTGAAGACGGTTCACCAACAGATTCACAAGTTAACCCAACTCGACCTAACATAACCCAACAATACGTCACCCTTAAATCAACACAACAACCCAACAATACATAGTTTATTTAGCTAGTCAACGAGCGTTATGGAGACGCCAGTCTTCACTCTGAGCTTCACCTAATCTAAGACAACACAGCCTGACCGATAACCTTACAAATATAGATATATTATTTAATTGGAAATATTTGTTTTAACAATGTGATTTAATCATAAGCCAGTAGATCACAGCGACGTTAAAATCTATTTTTATAGACCAACCATTCAAAATCGTTGTTGCTTATATAAAAAAAAAAATACGCACCTTCTTCACAATGTCCTCGGATGTGAAATATTCTGACCCGAAACTACAGACTTGTGCATTTGTATAAATATTGGTGTATTTATAACCAGATTGTGTTATGAAACATGGATGATCAGATGAAAGATCTGCATTTTGGGTACAAACATTAGGTTATGGAGATAATGTGCTGGGAAATAGATAAGTGTGCTTAGGGAGGGGGTAAACGGGGAGGGTGTATTGTAGGGGTAGATGGAGTGTCTAGGGAAGTAGACAGTGTGGGTTTTCAAAGGGGAGGGGGTGGGGATTGTTTTCTTAGGGGTTGGGAGACAAGAATGTCCTTGAAGGGGGGAAGGGGTGTAATCCTAGACGGGGAATATCTTGGCCCTGAGGGATGGAGGTGTACCCGGAGGTGCGCGGGTCGACTATCTTGATCATAAATGTTTACATAAATGACATTCTTACTAGTGAAAGCTGCTATCCCAATAATAACCACAGCCGTTTCCTCGCATAAAATGTAGCATAAACCACACCGAAAATTATCTTATTTTCGTTAAGCTGTCAAGTGATTCAACAAGTAGCGATGACGTGGTTCGACTCCTTGGGGGTCGTCTAGTTGGAACACTATTCCTTCAATTATGTTTTGTTGGAACCTTAGTTATGTGTTTAAGTTTCTGTAATATTTTAGGACAATTAATTTAAGTCATATTATGCAATACCTACTAAAATATTAACTGAAATATGAATGTCTTAAGTACGTGTCGAGAGACTGAGTGCAGCGATTAGTACTGTCGGTCCGCAGTAGATTGGACTAGAATTTGATTCCCAAGCAAGACACATTTGGGGTAGTTTCATTAAAGCTGGGGGGATAGCATGGTTCTTATTCTATGGAAGAGACGGTTTAGGACCATTCTCTCGAATGTGTTGCAAATGCAAAACAAAATTTGTAAGGGAAATAAGGGGAAATTGTAAGGGAAATTGGGCGGAAAGCATTCTCTTGATTTGGCTTGGGAATTGGAATGATTATACTGTTGGTCCAAGAGATTGAAAGTTTCCCGGTAACATAGCCCATATTATACAGCTCAAGCAGGGGATTCCCTGCTACTGAAGGAGCAGATGCAATGTCATAAGTGATACCATCCTCACCGGGTGATGTGGCTCTACTTATTTTTGTAGGGCCTATTATAACTAGCTTAGTAAATGGCACGTTGCAGTCATCTGGTGTGCAGGACAAACATCAGTTGACACTAGCTCTCCACATATCAGTTGCTTTATTTAAAAACTGCACTTGGGGTCGATCTCGAACCTATTGACGATGTGACGACTTGTACTGAATTTTGTAACTAGCTCAAGATTGTAACTTGGCTAAATGAATTGTGGGGTTCAGTCCCTGAGCCCATATATGTGCCTCTGTAATCCTGTTCACTACCGCCCACAAGATGGGTTTGGGGTGCATAATAAATGAGCTAAACTGAAAAACTTAAAGCTGTTGGCTGTCGCTGAACAGCAAATATAGGTACTCCGGAGTGAGTTAATTGTTGAGTTGCATCCTGGGGAAGGTCCGCCGAACAGATTAGGTAGTGTTTAGTTTTTATCTTAAACTGGTTGAGAGAGGGACAGTCTTTAACATGGTTGGGAAGGTCATTCCACATTCTGGGCCCCTTGATTTGCAGAGCATTTCTAGTTTGATTAAGACGTACTCTAGGAATATCAAAACTGTATTTATTTCTGGTGTGGTGCTCATGGGTTCTGTTACAACCTTCTATGAAGCTTTTAAGATCAGGATTGGCATTATAGTTTAGCGTTTTATATATGTATAATACACATGAGAGAATGTGCAGTGACTTAATATCTAACATATTAAGAGATTTGAGTAGGGGTACCGAGTGATGTCTGGGGCCAGAGTTGGATATTGTTCTAATAGCGGCTTTGTGTTGGGTAATTAGAGGACGTAAGTGATTTTGGGTAGTAGAACCCCAAGCACAAATACCATAGTTGAGATAAGGATAGATAAGGGAGTAATAGAGAGTCACCAGAGCAGGGCGTGGTACATAATATCTGATCTTAGAAAGAATGCCCACAGTTTTTGAAACTTTTTTTGATATATTTAGAATGTGTCCCTGGAAATTCAGCTTGTTGTCAATGAGAATGCCAAGGAATTTGCCATCTAATTTGTTACAAATTTGGGTATTGTTTATTTTGAGATTTATAAGACTAGAGGATTTATTGCCAAACAGAATATAGAAGGTTTTGTCAATGTTAAGGGTGAGTTTGTTGGCAGTTAGCCAATGATGGACTTTATTTAGCTCAGTATTTACTGTGGCATTTAGAGCAAGAGGGTCAGGACTGGAGTAAATGAAGGTTGTGTCGTCAGCAAATAGAATTGGTTTGAGGTGTTGGGAGGCATTTGGAAGGTCATTAATGTAGATGAGAAAGAGGAGAGGGCCAAGTATGCTGCCCTGAGGAACACCAATGTTGATGGGTAGGGTGGGAGAAATTGTATTATTCACAGAAACATATTGGAGCCTGTCAGTAAGGTAGGACTCGAGGTATTGTAGGGAGTGCCCTCTGACTCCATAATGATGTAATTTAAGAAGAAGGTTATGGTGGTTGACAGTATCAAAAGCTTTACGCAGGTCCACAAATAACCCAACAGGGAGCTCCTTTTTATCAAGGGCTGTATGAATCGAGTTAAGCATACTAATGAGTGCATCGTTAGTGCTTTTTTGGGTCTGAAGCCATATTGGCAAGGGCTAAGTATATTGAGTTTGGCTAGATATGAGTAAAGCTGCTTGTATATAAGTTTTTCAAAAATTTTTGACAAGTTTGGCAGGATTGATATAGGTCTGTAGTTGTTAACATCTGTGGGATCACCACATTTGTGGACAGGCGTTACTCTCGCTTTTTTTAGAATATCTGGAAAGGTTTGGAGTTCAAGTGACTTGTTGAAGAGCAAAGCAATAGCAGGGGCTAAAGATCTGGAGGCTTTTTTGTATATTAAAGTTGGTATCTCCTCAAGGGCACTAGACTTGGTTTTAAGGGAAAGGATTATCTCATTGACGTCAGTGGAATTAATAGGCTTTAGGTACAGAGACTGTGGATAGTTACCTGTAAGATAGTCCTTAATGTCAGTACTGGAAGATGGAATATCATTTGCAAGGGATGAACCAATGGAAGAGAAGAACCTATTGAACTCAATAGCAGAATCAGAGGCTGAAAGCTGACCATCGTTATTAGACAGGAGAGTCGGTTTGTTATTTAAAGATTTCTTTGATCCCAATATTTGTGAAATTGTGCTCCAAGTTTGTTTAATGTTGCTCTTTATTTGAGTAAATTTATCTTCGTAGTAATTAGTTTTGGCTCGTCTAATTATCTTAGTTAGCAATAATGAGTAATTCTTTGAGAATTCTTTGGAGACAATTCCTAACCTATACTTCTTCTCAAGGTCGTGTTTTTTGTTAATGGATTTCAGTATTCCCTTTGTAAGCCAAGGATTGTTAAGCCTTTTGCTTGTGACTTGTTTTGTAAGCCTAGGACAGTGGGTGTTATAAAGGCTAAGAGTTGTTTGTAGAAAAGATTGCACTGTTAGGTTGATGTCCCCTATGTTACCTAACTCGGACTCCCAGTTGACATTATCAGCAGCAGTTATAAAATTGTTTATAGCAGTTTCATTGTGCAGCCTAAAGCTTAACTCCCTTGTTTCTAGAGGTGGTTTGCTAATGTTAGTTAAGAGAAATGTGGGGTAGTGGTCTGTAGTGCTATCGGTGATTATACCTGAAGTAAGCGGAGAGGTTATGTTGGTCCAGATGTGATCTAGAGTCGTGGCAGTGCTATCAGTGATTCTAGTAGGTCTAGTGATTAAGGGTATGAGGAGGCAGGAATTCATACAGTTGAGGAAGCTAACAGCAGTAGGGTGTTCTGGCTCGCAGAGGTCAATATTAAAGTCCCCTGCGATAATTAGGTGGTTTTTGTTCAGTCTGTTATCAAGTATTAGATTTCTAAGGTTTGAGTTGAATACAGACACATCAGTGTTGGGAATTCTATAGACTGCACCCACAGACAGGACAGACTCAGCACCCTTGACTCTGAAGCTGGCGAAGATATACTCCCCATAGCAGTCTCTAGTTCTAATTTCTTTTAAGCATGTTAGTTCTTGGTGGTAGTAAAGAGCAGTGCCACCACCTCTCTGAAGTTGACGACAGTTGTGAATTGCTGAGTAGTTAGGCATGTTAAAGAGTTGAGTAGTATCCTCTTTCAACCATGTTTCAGTAAGTATAATAAAAGAGAATTTGTTGCCAATAGTTTCAATCAAGGCACTAACATCATCGAAGTGTTTACCTAGGGATCTAACGTTCAAATTGATTACAGAGATATTGTGATTATGAGTTAATACATTGTTTACATCATGTGCTGCAAAATATCTGCAATTTAGATCATTAAAGTGATTATTGTTATAGATAGTGGATAAGAGGTTAAGTTCTGGGTCTATACTTGACTGCATAAAAGAAGCTGATTGTAGAATCAGAAATAAGTAGAAAAAAGCTATAAAATAGGGAAAAAAATATACACAATACTGTACAAAACAAACACAAAAGGGGCTTACAGGGGTACAATGGAGTAAGGGAGTATGGCTAGGCTAGGCAACCTAGGCAATTAATGAGATTAAAGAAAAAACATGTAAACATGGACTATACAAAACACAAGATATGGAAATACAAAACAAAAAATATAAGCAAGACTAAGCAATACAAAAAAAAGAACAAAAAAACAAATTGAGCAAAAATGAGGTAGATTGCTTACGAGTACTCACAGGTACACTGTAAGTAACAATTTGCAACAGGCTGCCATACCCTGACAATGTAAACAATTAGTAAACTGGTGCTGTTAATTAATTTTTGTTCTGAAGCAGATAATTGTAGCAGATACAATCATGTTGGCAGTGTATCCTCGTCCCTCCTTATGGTGGTCGGCTGCATAATTACTTTATCCACATGTAATGGAACTTCGCCAGAACACGTTTAAAGAGAGTATGTGTATCCCATAGCTCACAAGTCACTATAAAATGCACTTTACATCTATAGTGGGTCAGTTACTAGTCTTGCTGCACGCCCACCCAACTGGGCGGCAGTTTTAGTCATGTGCATGCATTACCTACAGTAAGCAAATTTTGGATACTTCGCAAAGAGTTCAGGCAGTAGGAAGTACTTACACATTTCTTGGCCAACATTGATGTTCACTAAATTCCGCGATTTTTTCACATTCCATTATATAATGACACAAAGTATGCAAATAGTTCTGCTGACAGTTTACATTTAGTCAAATCAACATCAGCAGATGTTACAAACTGCCAGAGGTACTTGTAGCCGAGCCTAAGCCTAGCAGTGGTAACATCTAGAAGTCTGCTAACCTTATTGGATGACCCATAGACGTGCGGTACTTCCTGCATAATAGAATGATGATAGATGGAGTAACTGGTGTGAATTTCACTTTGCCTAAAGTCTCCGAAATTTAGTTGATGTTCCCGGAGACGGTTGAACGATGAACTAAACTATATTCACGATGAACTTAATTATATTCACTGCCCTCAGGCTACTCAAAGGCACTCAAAGTTGGTAATCAATTCCCTCTTTACGAGTAAAAGTCTTGGCCAACTCATCAATTCTATCATGCACTCAGGGACCAATATGGGAAGGAATCCACAGGAGACAGACTGACTCCATCATTATTTCATTATATCCGTGTCTAGCTTCAGAGATAAGCACGTCAGTTATACCTTAGGGAGCTGTGTGTCAGTCGGTCAAAGGAATAGATGGGTAAGAGTTGTAAATCTGTACAGAAATGTAGTATATAAACTGTACGTGAGAGGAAGTGTGAGAGTACCGTCATGCGTGAGTGTGTTTGAACCATTTAAAGTTAGTAGTCGGCTTACGGACCCCATATTCCCAGCCTGGGAATGGTGGCAGAAAGGTTAGTCACACAAGGTAACATCGCCGGTCTTCGGACACTTGATAAGACTCCTAAGAAGACTTGGTTCTATACAATGAGTGAGAGGGATATTTTAAAATTAAAAATATTCTGATATATTAACGAAAACTGGTGGTCTTAATTTGTATTGAGCAAATGAATTGTGGGGTTCAGTCCCTGAGCCCATTATGTGCCTCTGTAACCCTTTCCACTACCGCCCATGGGATGGGTATGGGGTGCATAATAAATGAATTAAACTAACTATTGAGCAAGTGATTTAGACACCTGACTGCCGATATTCAGAATGGGTATTTTACGCATTTCTCACATGGATAGTGGTACGAATATGAACGCACCTTTATCCAAATCTTACGTCATTCCAATGCAAACCTAAAACAGTGTACATGGTCCAGCCCGGCCTCCTAAGGTTTCCAAACGTCAAGAAAACGGTCAATTTAAAATATCTTCGCCTAACCTACCAGAGGATCCAAAAAAGAAAACAGGACAGTGTTACAATCGCGAGCCGCTTCCATTGTCTAGTGGACCTTATTATGTTTTATTTATTTTTCTAAATACGGCTTGCCTCCATTTCCTGAAGCTGGCCGCCTGGCCGCCTCCGAAGCTAGCAACCACACCAGACTCTGGGGAATTAAGTTCCTGTACGTATTACCGAGGTGAAATCTGAACCACTGTTTAATTCCCTATGGACATTGCCCCAATTTGCTTTAGTGTACTGTATTTGATATTAATATTTATAATTAATACATTTTCCACATGCAGGTACCATCACACACAACTGCACTGTTCGACCACTCGGAACAACCAGAAGCACCACTCGCAGCCTGTTGATAATGGTGAGAATAAATATCTTGTTTGTCAACGCCGTTTGACGAGGACATTTTCAGACTCGTCACATATTTAAAGCACTAAGGCTGGCAAACCTTGGGGGGGGGGGGGGGTGATCGCACGAGGACAGACTCGCTCCAGCCTTCCAGGTCCCACAGCCATAATTTACCTTGGAACTCGGAGATCAAAATTCAACCTAAAAGAGAAAATAAAAAGAGAAACTTAAGAACATAAACACAATTATTTGAGATTAGTAACCCGGAGGAAAGCAATGTAAACAATTGTTGCTGTTGGGCAAACATGGCAGCCATGATGAGCAGAATGACGTCCCAGGCTACACGGGGGTCTGCCAGCCAGCCACCTCCTTCACTTTAATGGATCCACCGGGTACACACATACACGTGTACGTACACGTACGTGCACGTATGTACGTCTGTCTGCTCGGCTTGTTTTTAGCTTCACGCCTTTAACTGTGCTATTGGCCGCCCATTGAGTTTAGTTTTGCAAGGGGTCATTGCTTTAGTTTACTTCCTGCTTCAAATTGTTATGACACCTGGTTTGCGTACACATTTTACCCAGCTGTGTACAAGGGGACCCTTCCCAAGGGGGTAGAGTTTTCCAGGACTATAGATTTGACTACTTTGTTCATTTAATGTACCACCACTTACGGGCTATTCATGCCCGTGCCACCTTTTGGGTGGCTTAATCTTCATCAATCAATCAATCATTTAATGTTCAGGTAGTGTGTGTATTTGCTTTCTGTTTGAGTGATAGCCACACTAACACGCAGCTATACTATCAGGCTTAGCTTTGGCACGTTCATTTGGACCCTGCACTCAAGTGTTCATTGCCTGGTTAAGGGATCTTGTCCGTAGTTGTGTATTACCTCCCTCGTCGGGCGGGTCAGGTCGGGGTTGGTGTTGACTCAGCGCGCACATTTCCCTGCACCTGTTCTGCCAGCTTCCCTGCGGCCAGTCACCCTTGACCTTGGGGTAATATAGTTTTATTGTTTAAATTTTTGGCGACATTTTTATAGCCGCTTCGTCTGCCTCTGTTTCCAACTTTTCTGATAGTTTTCCAATGTGATTCGGTGTTCTTGGCCTCGGATGGTTACTCTTACTACCTCTGTCGGATTTTTTTTTTAAATTTTGCCCCGAGGGGCGAGTTACTGAGGAGTTCCTTAATCCACGGGTGTCGTCGTCGTTTGCTGGTGTTAGATTTCTCTGCTGGCCAAACCATCTTATTGTGTGGTGGCTTGGCAAACTGGGACTGCGTTGAGAGTTTGCACTTTGCTGTTCTCGCTTTTGCCGCCCGTGGACTCGGGTTTAGCTAAGTGGAATGGCAGCTGAACTCGGTATGAGTATGTTGAACATCATGTTTTTGACACTTGTCCAATCTGAGGTTTCTTCCTTGGCCAGCTTTGGTTCACTCGGCTTGTCAAGTTTTGTTATTATGGTCTCCTACGTTGCCTTAATGGGCTTGGAAACGCTGTGCATTTTTTTTTTTTTTTTTTTGAGATATATACAAGAGTTGTTACATTCTTGTACAGCCACTAGTACGCGTAGCGTTTCGGGCAGGTCCCTGGAATACGATCCCCTGCCGCGAAGAATCGTTTTTTCATCCAAGTACACATTTTACTGTTGCGTTAAACAGAGGCTACAGTTACGGAATTGCGCCCAGTAAATCCTCCCCGGCCAGGATACGAACCCAGGACATAGCGCTCGCGGGACGCCAGGCGAGTGTCTTACCATTACACCGCGGAGACTTGCATTAGTGGCTTCAGGCATTGTATGTACTAGCTCTCTCTTAATCCATCATTGTTTGTAACTCATTTTTAATGTATGTACCTTTACCTTAACAACCATCTAAGAGCATGCTGGTGCCAGCAGAGAACATCTTCCAGGGCTACCCCCGCACCTTAAGGTTTTGAGGGACGCGACGGAGCCTTCTACTTAGTCCCCATCCTTTTTTGGATGTTCCTAAAATACAACTATATAACTTTCCATTCACCTGGACTATATTGGTCTCTAACTATATAGCACATGGAAGAGGTCAGGATAGGGATTTGGGATGGGACAGAGAGAAGGAATGGTGCCCAACCACTTGGACTGGGCGGTAGAGCGACGGTCTTGCTTCATGGAGGTCAGCGTTCAATTCCCGACCGTCTAAGTGGTGGGCATATCACCCCCCCTTCCCGTCCCATACCAATTCTTTATCCAGATCCCTCCCAAGTGCTATATAAAAGTAATGTCTCTCCTGATAGTCCCCTTCCCCTAGATTGTTCCTGGTGGTTTGGCATCCCAAATATCGATAGCTACCCTTACTGACGCTCAGTTTTTAGTCTCGCACTCTACAATTTTTTTTAATTTTGCCCCGAGGGGCGAGTTTATTGGGCAGCGCCACTCATCTTGTGAGTGGACATACCGCCATAGCAGCATGTACAACACTCCCCAAAAGGAAGAAAACCCGCTGGGTTGTTCATCCTGTCACTTGTACCCAGACACAGCTGGGACTTAACTGGCTCAAGTGAACAGCTCCTCAAACAAGATTAATATTTGTCAACCTTTAAAACCTTACGTTATCTTGCTGGTGCAAAATGGGGGAATCTTTTGAGAACGGTATCAATATTTGACAAAGTGTTTTCCTAATTCAAACAATGTTGGGTTTATGATTATACACACAATTCTAATGTCTCTCAGGTGTTCACATTCTCTCGGGTAGTGGTCAAGGCGGTGTCTGTCATTTTCACCATAGATTCTGCAACTTCGCTGATCAACTGTTGTTGCCATTCCGTATCTCCATGAATATTTATATCCAAGACGGATTCTCGCTATTACTGATTCTCTCCGGCGTCCTCCTCTTCGTCCATAATGATTGGGATTGCTAGCTGCAGCCATGTTGTACCATCGTACAGACTCGCTGGTTTGTGCTTCTATCCTCCTTTCCTCAGCTACCTTGTCAAGGTGATGTTGCCTGACAATACCTCTAATTTGTAGTAGTTTTGGGTATGAAGTATTCAATATGGTCGCCTTCAGCAGCCAGCACATTTGCTTGTTCATTCCCACATATTCCAACATGGGAGGGGATCCATAGAAACTTGATGACTCTTCCCTGATTGGTAAGTACTCTCACAGCTCTTGATTTCAGCGACTATTGCAAGATTTTCTGCCCGATTTTTACTTACGTTTTGCAATGCTGCTTTTGAATCGGTGAAAATCACTGCACCATTAGTGTTCCGTTCAAGAAACCTTAACGCCATAACAATGGCAGTTAGCTCTGATTGCGTTGAAGAAGCATAGTTCTCAATACGCGCTTTTTCTTCATTTCTTTGTTGGAAAGCATTATCCTTAATTACCGTGTATGCTGCACCAGCCCTGCCATTGACAGAATTAGATGACCCGTCAGTGTAGATTTGATCCAATTCATCTCCGGCTTCTTTATAAATTTCCTCCAGATACTCGTCTCATTTCTTGTGGTATCATGGATTTTTTCGTTGCCATTTCATTGATAATCCTGCATGAATCATCTCAGGGAGGTAACCTCTCTACAGGCATGAGCTCACGGGCTTGCTCAAGCAGGTGAAGTTCTTCGAGGTAGCAGACTGATCTGTGATGCCATTTTTTGCTTCTCCTGTTTCCCCCTGAAAGTAGCACAGAACTCTGTTTTTTCTTAGCAATATCATTGTAATGGGGATCTCTGGCTATCCTAATTGCAAGCTTAGCATTCAGCTCCTTAATTCTGCTTTTAACACTGGGGAGGGACCACTCCTCTCGTAGATTAGACGTTTTGGCAGTTCTTGGAACTCAAAGAATGAGTGTCATGGCTTCATTTTGAATGCTTTCAAGCCTTTTCATATCGCTTTGGGAGTAGGTGCACTGAACTGGAGCGCATAGTCTATGACGGAGCGCACATAGGCTGTGTACATCATTTTAAGCATGGCAATAGAGGCTCCATGTCCATTCCAGGTCATAGCTTTCAGTGCCCTGAGTCGACTTTTGCATGTGCCTATGAGTTGATTGAGCTCCTCTTTCTTCCCTTTGTTAGAGCCGACAGTGACACAGAGGTACCTGTAGTGGTCACCCCATTCAAGTGTTTGAGAGGCGGGACCAGAGCCCCGAAGCTCAAACCCCGCAAGCACAACTAGGCGAGTACACCCTTGCATTTGGTGGAGGGATTTTGGGTCCACCATGGAGTCGTCGTCTTCCACGAAGGATGATCTCGAGGATCTGAGGTTGTCACTGGAGGCAACTCGTCCTCAGACCAAGGCCATTCCATCCAGCGGTCGACCCCGAAGGTGCATTCATAAATTTTAACATTGTTCATTCAGAATAGGAATTTTCTAATATATTTCCCATGCACATGGGTATCCAAGCCTGATGCGATGTAAGTGTACTTCTGTTGTTCTACTGCTCCCTTTCATCAAACTAAGTGGTTCATAGTTGGTTGAATTCTTGTACCAACCCGCGGATCCTGATGATACAACTGCTGTATTGTGGTCACTGTACATCTTTTTCATTGCTCTGTTTCTAATTACTTTCTTAATCTGTGATAGACTCTGTGGTATGTAAATGTCTACATTTCTTCTCGGTTGCAAGTTTTGCAGCTTCGCCTGCAATGTCATTTCCTATTTTTTTTTTTTTTTTTTTTTTTTTTTTATAGATATATACAAGAGTTGTTACATTCTTGTACAGCCACTAGTACGCGTAGCGTTTCGGGCAAGTCCTTAATCCTATGGTCCCTGGAATACGATCCCCTGTCGCGAAGAATCGTTTTTTCATCCAAGTACACATTTTACTGTTGCGTTAAACAGAGGCTACAGTTAAGGAATTGCGCCCAGTAAATCCTCCCCGGCCAGGATACGAACCCATGACATAGCGCTCGCGGAAAGCCAGGCGAGTGTCTTACCACTACATCACGGAGACTATTATTCCCACATGACTTGGCACCCAGTTGATAAGTACCCGTCGGCCTTGTCGTTTGAGTGTTTGCATTAATGATATGACATTAGATGTTTAGGTTCTGTTGGCGATTATTTGTATTTGTAATAAATAGGTGAATAATTTACAGCGTTTTGCGCGCACACGCACACGTTTGTATGCTTGACAAACGTGATATGACTAAGCCATAGCCTCGCTAGGCTTTTTCTTTTGTCTGGTATTAGATATTTCTCATCGCCATTTAGCTTCATGCAATTTTCCTTATTTCTACTTCCATTTTTTGTCTTTTATAAATACCTTTTTCCTATTCTATCTTCTTCCTTCCCTAACCTTTTAACTTTTCCTCTTGGTCTTTAACTTTCAATTACACGACTTCTTAAATGGTCGAGGACGAACCGGAACGTCGTCGGTTCATCATCGTCGGTGTGGTCCTGGGTGTCAACTCTTCAGCTGCGTTGTTGTGACTCATCGTCTACTCTTCTTATCCCATCCACCGTCAGTCTCAAGACACGTGTCGCCCACCCATCTCAACACTCCCCCCTCTCCCCCCCACACGCAACTCATCACCACACTGGTGGTGATGAGATTATATTGTGGACCATATATAAATATGGGCCCCACAACCATAAATTCCACAGCACCACTCCTGTGCTAGGCAAGACCTCTACGGGCTCCCCGTAGCCAGTGCTACTTGCCCTGCTCCTGTGCCAGGTAAGTTACGGGCTCACCATAGCCCGTGCTCCTTGGAACTTGTTCAGAGTAGCTGAATCTGTAACAACAACAACATAACTTCAACCTTGTCCCCACAACTCCCCAACAAATCAATATGTCAACTTCCAATTTGTTTTATTTACTTTAATGCAAATATGTGAATATTTGACATGCAATCGTGTCAGTTGTAAAAATTGCATGTTTTTTTTTGTTTTTTGTTCATTTGTACGGTACCATCTTTGTGGTTTTTCCATTTGGGAAGCTCACTTCCTGTCAATGAATGATGTATGTCGGTGATGTCTTAGTACCATTTATGCAAAGAAACTTGCCCATCACAATGATTGTTTCCTGCCAAATAATGTTTAAGTAGCCTAACTCGGGTCTCAAACACTGCAAGAAATTGAGTCCCATACATTATTTCCACCCACGACACCTAGACCCTAATTAAAGTCCTTAATATTAAAAAATGTGTGTTCATGCCTTTGAATTTCTTTTTGGGATTCGGTACAAAATTTTGTACTGAATTAAGTGATAATGACTATTTAATACATTGACACATTATCAACAGGACAGTGACGAGCCAGAGACGTGTAAGGTTTGTCTAAGCAACTACAATGAAACTGTCCGAAGGCCGTGTACTCTGCCTTGTGGCCATACAATCTGCTCACAGTGTACTAAAGATGCTGTACAGAATGCTCTTCTCATCTGCCCGAGCTGCCATACTGAGCACAGTGCCACAGCTGATGCTCAGTTCCCAGTTAGCTACAGTATGGAGGCCTTGCTCAGGAAACTCAAAGGTATTAGACTGACGTCATTGGCACCAGAGTCGGTTAAACCTCAACACAGCTCAAAGCGCAAGGGCAAAATGCTACGGTCCTTGACGGAGGAGTACAGGCGCAACATCGACAATTTCGTGTTTGGCTGTGAAGAAGCGCTCTCTCTGATGAGTGACTACCAGCGGCGGCTGACTTACTGGAAGCGTTATCACCAACAACTGGAAGACGGACTAAATGATCTGCTGGAACAGAACAAGGCTGCAATGAAGCCGCTGAAAAAGGAGGTTATCAGTGTTGCAAACATTACACCAGAAGGAGAGGAAGGAAGGATACGGCTTAAAGCCATGGTTGTGCGCCTTGACACACTCGACACCGCACAGGAGATCGTCTCGACCATTGATGAATATGATCTGTATTACAAGGAGACTGAACATTGGATTAAGAAGTGCAAGGAACGCTTCCCGGACGCCAGCTCTGTCCACACGTCAATTAAGGTATGTTGGTGATCAGTCCTGCCACTGACTTGCCTATAGGTCCTTACTAAAGTTTTAATTATAAAGAATTAACGCTTTTAGAATATATCGGTAACATAGTGTATTTTAATTTTTCATGTCTCCTCACCACCCGGCATCAGTGTTCAATATTTAAAAAAAAAAAAAAAAACTTGATTTTTTCAAATTTTACATACTAATCAATAACATGCAATTCGTAGTGTATGTGCAAAGGTACAGAATAGGCTCGATTATTCGTTTAGTTTTTAATGTACAAATTAAGTACTGTATTAGTTACCAGTAGTACCATCCTATTTCACACTACAGTACATAGCGTTTTGAAGTTTCTTCGATCCTTTAACGTATGCCTATCATAAGACCATTCTTTGGCCTTGTAGGTGCTCCATAATAGTCCAGATGGTAATCTCGGCCTACCTTGGTTTTCTTCAGCTTTCCTAGTCTTTTTTTTTTTTTTTTTTTTTTTTTATTAACAATTAGTATTGGTGGGTACTCCTGGAAACAATTAATGTCCACCATGAAATTTGAAGTACAGAGCTGAAGGAGATCCGTCGCTGCTCCAGTCATGCTCTTTAGCACTTCTCAATGAATACCAAATGCTAGCTTCAATACTCTGGTCAGTCTGCTCACCAACTGACTGTAGAAAAGAATTGGGGCTGTAAAGGGAAGGTCCCCTGACTGCAACACTATTAAGTCTGCATCTGCTCTAAACTCTGGATTTGGATCAGCTTTCAGATTCGGCTAGTTGCTCCATATGGGCGAGGCCTGGGGGCAGAGTTTCCTCTTAACATTTATGCAGAGAATGAAGCGAGCTGATCATCCACGAGCTGGAATTGGCGGTGAATGTACAACCAGGAGACTTTCCATTAGTTCTCCTGGGTAATAAGACTCCAGAAGCGTCTTCCTCCCTCGTGGCGTCACGCTGTTCCTATCATCATAAATTCTAAAATGTTTTGGATAAAATTAAGATGAAATAACACGCGCATTATTCAATTTCATAATCCCAGTAAAAAGGTACATGATCTGGCAGTAGAGATGTTAAAGCGGACTACAGGTTCCATACCAGAGGGGAGAAGTGCCCTCTGGCATGAGAAGAGAGCCAACGTGTAGGTAGGCTGTGTGTGTGTGTGTGTGTGTGTGTGTGTGTGTGTGTGTGTGTGTGTGTGTGTGTGTGTGTGTGTGTGTGGACGATACGAAAATGGTTCAATTACCCCAGGGATTAGACCTTAAGGAAGCAATAGAATTGTTTTTAAAACTTGTTCAATGTCAACCAATATTTTTTTGACTAGTTGTATATGAAAAGGGCTGCAATTGTTCCAAGTTTGAGTACTGCAGACTAAATAGAAAGTTTTTTTTTCAACGAATATTACACATTTTAAAGTGTATATACAACCACACCTTTCAGATATAATCATTGACACTTTTCTGACACATTAGCATATAATAAAGAATCTGATGCCGCGGATTTTCCAAAATATGTTTAGTTTTACTAATACAAATAAGCAAAGTTCCCCCCCCCTCCCCAAAAATATGCATATATATCATGTTTGCTATTATAAAATCAATAAATGAACTTGGGGAAAAAACGCTGGCCACAGATTTTAGACACATAAACGTTACATGTAAGGTATAAGTTTCATGTAAGTTGAATACAAAATGAGTTATATGAACGTTTGTTACTTGAAAATAAATAAGTAAAAAAAAATAGTCTGGGTGCTGCCATCTGTGGCTGAGGTTGACATCGACCAATTTTCTCCCAAATTGGCACCCTTACAGATAGGCTTACGTGCAGTCAGGTTTATAAGTTTCATGTAAATCGTCCGATAAAAAAAAAAAAAATGAAAGTTAAAAAAAGTATTTTTTTTTTTAATAAAACTAATTAAATTTTTTTTAATGTGCTATTGTGATAGCCGAGTCATAGACATGATTTAAGTTGACACTTGTGTTTGATAAGTTTCTGACCATCTTGGAAATTTTTTGACGCATAATTCAATATTTATCTCCCTATTTATGCTACGATGCTGAGACTTGGACCAGATGAAACCCTTTTCATATACAATTCGTCAAAAAAGTTTCCTTGAAATCGAACCATTTTCATTTTTGAACCTATTGGCCCCTTAATAATTATGACAGGTCAGCCCGAAACCTCGGTCCATCCCAGCTCTGAAACTTAGAAATCCTAGGTGTCATGCCTGACTTGGAGGATGAAGATCTAGGGTGAAGTCCAACTTTAGTTTAAAGACCAAATTCTGGGAAGGGGATTGGATGCAAGCTACCCATGGGGAGGGTATCCTGCTCCCAACCTACATATCCAGTGGCACTATACAAAACACATTCCCCACTGATGACTCTGGAGCTTCGATCCTGGGTTATTTCCGCGCCTTGACCAGCAGCTGGGACCTGAAAGTGGCATGCAAAGTGAACTTTGGAGTACTGGTTCCACTGGTTGAACATGAAGCAGTACTGGAGTGAGGCACATACTTGGTATATGTATTAGGAACTACTGTAGTTCCAGAAATTGTTTTTTTGTCTATAATAAAAAGTTGTATTTTTATAATATTCATAAGTTTGCACAGCTCCACATTGGTAATTACAGGTGCAGGAGATCATGAAACAATTCCTCAAGATGATGCCCGTTGAGAGAAAAAAGACCATAATCTCAGTCACCCTGGAAGACCCCCACTTCAATATTCCAGGGAAAATTCAGAAAATTACTGAAGACCTCTTTTGTAAAATGCTAACTGTAAGTTTAAACTATATTTGATTTTCCTTGACACATCTTTATCATGAATTTTCTTTCATGTTTTCAACTAAGTAGTTTCACAGTTGACCATGTTGGTGGATTATTTTAAAATAGGCCTGCAATTTAGTTTTTGAGTTCGTGTATTTTGTTCAGTGAGGGGTTCCATCAGTGGCTCTCCAACGCTGTTCAGCTGAAAGTTTCCAGACCTTGGGTACCACATCACGCTTGTAAATCACGAGCGTCTACCAGAGACCAGGTGTTCATACATTGCGTAAGGCAAAGGTTCTTGGCATGTGATCCCTGTGCCTGGATCGCCTGCTTGGGTCTTGAAGACGTCGGGTTCTGGTAAACCCTTTATATTCTCTGGTGTAGATTAGTTTGGACTGGCCCCCCACAGACGCTCTTGCTGAATGCCTCGATCTTGTTCGAAACCAAATGTCATTCAAAACCAAAACAGACCGCCTCTGTTTTAACTGCCTGCGGACCAAAGTCCAAGAAGTTTTTTGGCCTCCTGGACTCGTTCCCATCCCGAGGCTCTTTTTTTCCCCTTCTGGAGTTGGGTCCTGTATGGGTTTCGTCTTACCTTGTTGACTAGCAGACTTTTCCTTTTGAGAGTTTTGGCACACTGCTTGCAGTCCCTGGCGGTTCTTGAACACCGTGCTTTACTCGTTGTAGTGGTACCGCGTCCTGAGGTACCGGCCTCTGCCTCTTGTTGCACGTTCTCCCTTGCAGTTCCCTGCCAAAGAGATTCTGGTGCCATATCAGAGGTCCAAACCCCATCACGGAACACCAGTGTGTTGTAGAATAAGGAGTATATAGACGAACCTCTACCAGTCCAATTTTTAATAGTCAAAGTTGTACTAAGTCTCACTTTTAAAGGAATGACTGGAGAAGAAGTTTTGAAGGAAGAGCTGAAGATTGCCAGGGAAGCGAAAATAATGTAGTTGGGATAATGTACTTCCAAGTACTTTTATAACCCTTTTCCAGGTCAAAAGAACAGCAGCAACGGAGATCTCCGTAACAAAGGCACTACAAATGTAGATCCCCCTCCCTGTCCGGCTCATTGTTGCCTAATGAGGCTTGGTGGACAGCTGCTAGTGTGATGCTCCTTGGGACAGTCCTCTGTCCTTTTGTAGCCTTGTGCTCCTGCTGCTGTCCTCTCTAATTGTGCCGGAAGACTTTTCCTTTTCCTTCTGTTTCGTTTTTCTCTCCCCTCTTCTCCTTTCTCATTGTCATTCCCTGCCGACCTTTTGCCTGTTTTGATTCTTCTTTCGGCCTTCTTTTATTTTGACGTCCGGGTGTTTGGGGAGGCATACTCTTGTACCCATAGAACTGTAGTACCCAATGTCTCGAACGAGGGGGACCCTTTTATTGTCAATCCTCCTTTCGTCACTGAACCCAATCTCGACGGACAGACGGTTCTTAAGGTGGCGTTTGTGGGACGTATACTCACGATGCACCCCTGGGGGGCCCCGGCAAGATTGGCAATATCTCTCTTGTTGGGTGTCCTGCCTTTTTCCCTCTTGTACCTTCTCAGGCTCGTGGGGCAGGCGACAAAGCCCCCAAGTCGGACTGTGTTGGAAGACCAGGCTCTGTAGCCCCCACTGCATTGGGCCCCGACCATGCTCCTCCTTTGACCCTCCTGACTACTCCCCTACCTCCTCTGAGGTAGCGTAGCGTTCCCAGCCCACAGTGGTGACCACCTCGTCCCCTGGCACGGCTCCATCTCTCATTGACTACTGCGCCTTTTACCCCCTCTCACTCTGGGGATTCTCAATGCAGTCCCCGCCACGGCCGCACTCGCACGACCCCTTCCCATACTAATACGTACAATGCCTTGTTTGGTCCCGCTACATGGACTAAATATTTTACTCTCCTCCATCTGGATTCTACTCCTCCTGACGACTCCTCCCTCCATAATCACCTTGTTGATTCGGTAGATGCCTCTGCTACTTTTAACGCCACCAGTTACGGAACACGTGTCGTCGCTGCTGCTCCTCAGGATGCAGCTACTCGCTTAACCACTTTGTCCTGCATTGGGGAGACCCCCCTGTTCGGGTCGCCAAAAACACTCGGTTAAATGCCAGTGTTGGCACTGTTCTCCTCCCACACCATGTTGCAACTGGTGTTAGGGACCTCAAAGACTGCCATGAGGATATTAAACATATCATCAAAGCCCAAGACCATTCTGTCCTCCAGGTGGACACGTTTACTCGACCCCCTCGTGGTCGTCGCCGTCAGCCCCTTCGAGTTGTAAAAATCACCCTTGATAGTAGGGCTTTTCCGCCCTCTATTATTCTTGCTGGTGCCAGATGCTTTGTTCAGGAATACATTCCCTCTCCCAGACTTTGCAATAAGTGTTGGAAGTTTGGGCACGGTGTCCTCAAGTGCACAAGTACTGTGTATCTATGCCCCATGTGTGGGGACGATGATCATTCTAAGTCCGAGTGCACTTCTCCCCAGCCTCGCTGCCTCAATTGCGATGAGGCTCACCCTACCTTCTCACGCTCGTGTATACACTACAAACTCGAGGAAGCCGTCTTCAACTTGAAACACCGTGATCGTCTGTCTTTTCCTGAAGCAAGACGCAAAGTTGGCATCTTTGATGGGGTGAGCTTGGAAAGGGGTGAGACGTCGTCTCACCCCTTTCGTGGGCGTATCCTATGCTCGCGTGTTGCGTTCTACCTCTCCTCGTCCTTCCACCTTCCTCGGTCTCACAACCGTTTCCAGGCCTTAGACCCGAACTCACCCACCGCCTCCTCCCTTATTCTTTTGCGTCCTGTCCTGAAAGGTTTCCCTCCTGGTTCTCTATCTGGAGTTTTCTCCCTTCCTACCAAGTCCACCATGTCTCCTATGTCTTCTTTCCCATCTCTCCCCACTCTTTCTTCCCAACCCTTTCCCCAGTCTCTTGACCCTCCACGCAGCCTGTCTGTCCAGGCTGATGTCCATCATCCTCCCAGCAATCTTCGCGTTGTTCACTCCCGTTCCTCTTCTCCTGCTGAGACCATTGAGTCTGTCGCCCGGTACGTTGTTACTGGAACGCCTGTTTCTTTGAGTCAGAAACGTAAGCCTGGCTCTGCTGCTCCTTCCTCTCCAGCGGGTAAGAAGGCATCACTTTCTTCCTCGCCCTCCTCCCTCTATCACTACGTCCCCTCCCTTTCAGTGGTCGGGCCTCCTGCCCCAGATATGGAGCTTTTTTTTGCCCTCGATTCCCTCTCGGTTGCTGCCCTTGCCGAGGTACACTCCCTGATTTCTACCCCCCCCCCTCTTCCTGCTGTCCTTGACTGCTCCTCTCGGTTGTCTTCTCCTCCGGACCCCATCAGTCCGCCTCTGGTCTGTCTGTCCTGGTCCCTTCCCTCCATCCTTACTAAGTTTACCCATGCCCCTTAACCATGATTTTGCTGATCCTGATCCCGAGATTCTTTAATATACTGTGTTCTTCTTTACCTTTGTTTCTTCACTGTTCTCGGCTACTGTCCTTTCTCTTTGATAATGTCTATTCTTCAGTGGAATTTTCATGGATTTTTATGCCAACTACCATGAAACTCCAACTTCTAATTACAGTTTTCACCACTGTCTCCAAGAACCCATGCTTGGTGCTCGTTCTGGTCACTTTCGTGGTTATTCCTTTCTCCCCCCCCCCAGCTCTTTCTGGGGCCCATAACTCTACTGCTCTCTTAATTCGTTCTGATATTCCCTTCGTCCCCCTACTTCCTCCGTCACCTATCCATTGCTCTGCTGCCCGTATTTTTGTGAGTAAATGGTATATAATCTATTCGATTTTTCTCCCCCCCCCATATGTCCCGCTTTCCCTTCCTGAACTTAAGCACCTCCTGGACTCTTGCCAGAGCCAGTGCTCCTTTTGGGTGATTTCAACTGTCGACATACCCTCTGGGGTGATCTGACAAACTGAGGCTGCCTTCTCGAACCGTTCGTCCTCCCTTCTTCTCTATCTCTTCTGAATTTTGGTGAGCCCACTCGTGTGGACTCTCGGACTCGCACCCTCTCCTGTCTTGATCTTTTTTCTTCTCGTCGTCCCTTTACTTAGATTTCACGTGGCGGGTTCTTGATGTCCTCCATAAGTGATAATTTTCCCATCCTCGTTTAACTTTTCTCTTTCCACCCTCCCCTTCTCCTTCCCTAGGTGGCAGTTTGCCAAGGCTAACTGGAACGTATTCACCCTCCGTGCTACTCTCTCTGACCTCTCCTCTCTGCCTCTTCCTCGCGCCCTCATCCTTTTTCATGACAGTCTTCGACGCTGCCCTCCGCTCTATTTCTCGCTCTACCTCCCGGTGCACGCGGAAGCGCATTCCCTGGTGGAATGTGAGCTGTGCTCGGGCTGTCTGCTGTAAGCGTGCAGCCTGGAAGAAACACAGCCGCCGGTAGACGGCTGATTCTTTTGCTTTGTTTCGGAAGGCAAGTGGGGTGGCCCGTAGGACCAACCGTACAGCTAAACGTTAGAGTTGGAAATCTTATGTTTCCACCATTACGTCCGATACTCCTCTTCCACAGATCTGGAAGATCCGCAAGCTTGCAGGCAAGTTCGTTCCAGATGTCTCGCCGGTTCTCCACCTCCTTGGTACTCTTGTGATGGACCCAGTGCAGGTCGCTACCGAACTGGGTTCCCACTTTTCTACTGTTAGCTCTGGTTCTCATCTTCCTCAATCCTTCCTTCCTTCGAAAGCCTGTTCTTGAATCTCATCCCCTAGATTTCCACACTCGTCTCCGTCTTCCCTATAACGATCCTTTCCCTTTTTGAACTTAAGTCTGCCCTGGCTCTCTGCGGATCTACGGCAGTGGGCTCGGATGACATTCATTATGAGATGCTTCGCCATCTCCCTCCGTGCACGTCTCAGTCTTTACTGAGTCTGTATAACCACACCCTGAGGACTGGCTTGATGCTGTTGTACTCCATATTCGGAAACCAGGGTCTCTCGGTACTTCCCCTACGGACTTCCGCCCTATTGCCCTCAGTTGTCTGCAAACTCTTTGAGCGTATGGTAAATATTTGTATGATGTGGTTCTTGGAACACCATCACCACCTCTCTCAATTTGGTTTTCGCAAGTGCCATAGCACGACTGATGTCCTGGTGAACTTGGAGGTCTAAATTCGTACTGCTTTTGCTGCGAAGACGTCCGTTGTTGCTGTCCTTTTTTACCTGGAAAAGGCTTATGACACGACCATATTCTGTCCCAACTTCGTTCTTTTGGCCTTCGTGGTAATCTCCCTCTTCCTCCAATGCTTCCTTTCTCGTCGTTCCTTTTAGTCATGCTTGGTGCCACACTTTGCCTCTTTTCGGCAGTACGAAGGTGTGCCCGAAGGTAGTGTTCTGAGCACTACTCTTTTTCTGGTTGACCTCAATGGTCTTCGTTTCTTCCTTCTGGCATCTTCTCCGCTCTTTATATTGACGATCTTACTCTTTGCTGTCGAGGTGATGATTCACCTTTCCTTCAAAGGCGGCTTCAACTTGCGATTGATGCCGTGTCACCTTGGGCCACCAATCATTGCTTAAAGTTCTCTACAACCAAGGCTTGTGCCATGACTTTTACTCGAAAGCATGTCGTTCTTCGTCCCTCTTTGTCGCTTTATGGTCATCCCCTTGTGTAGAAAGATTCCGAGAAGCATTTGGGGTTATTCTTTGACACTCATTTGTCTTGGTCGCCCCATATCTCTTACCTCCGAGTTGAATGCTCTAAGGCCCTTAACCTCCTTAAGGTTTTGTCCCATACTTCTTGGGGTGTGGATAGGCGCGCACACCTCTTGTCCTGTCTAAACTCGATTATGGTTACCCTGCATAATCTTCTGCTTCTCCTTCTACTTTTCGCCGTCTTGATCCTTTGCACCATACTGGGTTGGGCCTCAGCTCTGGTACCTATAGTTCAACTCCTACCCTTAGCTTGTACTCTGACACTGGCTTTCTCTTTCCAGGACCGCCGAGATCGCTACTTTCTTCGCTATCTTGCGCGGTCCTTACAGCAACCTCACTCTCGCCTCTGTCGTGCTTTGGCTTTTACCCCTCCTGTGAGAGAGTAACGAGAGCAGACAACACACAGACGGCTGGGAAGAGTATGGATTATATTGGCCTGGACGGACATTTGTTCAGGAGGGCCAAGAGCAGGGAAGGGCAGAGAAGAAATATGGGGTCGAAAGGTGAAGATCACAGCGGAGAGAAGAGAGCAGGTGCAAAAGTGACACTAAGACAAAGAGGAGACGAAAGGAAGGGTGGAGACGCTGGTCAATTATCCCTTAGGAATACCCTCGCCTCCAGATAGCAGAGGAGCGCAAGTGGAGATGTCAGGGATTAAGGGTTGGAAACAGTTATGGAGCTAAGAAAGGGCAAAAAAAGTGTGGTGCAACGCACTGGCATATGTCATGTCTGAGAAAGAATTAAGATGGTGAGCATGGTTCCTCGCCTTGGGAAAAGATGTACGATCAGTGTGTTAAGGATGGCTTGCTCAAATTTATAGCGCATGCACGTGTAGGAGGCAGGGTGGGCTTTGTCGCAGTTGATGCAGCGAGCTTAAGAGAGAAGAGCAGTCTCGTCTTAGAATGACCAGGGTCACCACACAAGGGGCAAAGGAACATCTTTCTATTGCCCTTCGAGGAATCGTGTCAAATTTTCCAACGCCTATTACTGAAGAGAGGAGAAGGGGATGTTTTCTTGAGCGGAGAATCGGTCACTAGGAAGAATTACGGAAGATGGAAGGGTCCGACCCTCAACTAACTCCTCGAAGGAGATGAGTCTCCAAGAAACAGTCTGAGAAACTGAGTCTGAGAAACAGTCTCCGTGGTGTAGTGGTAAGACACTCGCCTGGCGTTCCGCGAGCGCTATGTCATGGGTTCGTATCCTGGCCGGGGAGGATTTACTGGGCGCAATTCCTTAACTGTAGCCTCTGTTTAACGCAACAGTAAAATGTGTACTTGGATGAAAAAACGATTCTTCGCGGCAGGGGATCGTATTCCAGGGACCATAGGATTAAGGACTTGCCCGAAACGCTACGCGTACTAGTGGCTGTACAAGAATGTAACAACTCTTGTATATATCTATAAAAAAAAAAAAAAAAAAAAAAAAGAGAGAGAGCGACCACGAGGGGGTCGAGTGAAGGCATCGGCCTGGAATAACCTTGCGCCTCTAGGATATACAAATCATTGTTTAAAGTTTCAAATCTCCAAACTGCAAATCATTGTTTAAAGTTCTTTACAACCAAGACTTGTCATTATGACTTAATCTGAATAAAGTTAATTTCTTCGTTCCCCCCCCCCCCATTGTCGCTTTAAGTGTTACCCTCTATGAAGATTCTGCTGAACTTTTGGGGTTGATTTTCGGTTTGGTTTGTCCTGATTACTACGTATCTCTTACCTCAGTTCATGTTCTAAGGCCCTTGCCTTACTCAATCTTGTCCCATACTGAGGAGCTGATAGACGCGCACTCCTATATATGCACGCCTCTCCCGTGCTGTCTAAACATGGTTATGGCTGCCCTGCTTACTCCTTTGCCTACCCTTCAACTCTTCGTCGTCTTTATGCTCTGCACCACACTGGGTTACGCCTCGGCTTTGGTTCCTTTAGTTCCTCTACCTTGAGCCTGTATGTTGAGACCAGCGTCCTGTCTCTAAAGGATCGTGGTGATTGTTACTGCCTTCACTGCCTCGCACAGTGCCTAGAACATCCTCATGCTGGCATATGCCATGCTTTTGACCGTTACCCCTCAAGTGGGCCCTTTCACCACCTTCCTTTGTCTGTACTGATGTCTCTTGCAAGATTCCCTCTCGGTTCATGTTAGCAAAGTCTTCTCTTGTCGTTGCATTCTTGGGATCCCCCCCCCCCCAGTGCAGAGCATCCCACTTGCAAAATATTTCAAGACCCTGACCCACATGGTAGAAAGGCTTCAACCCCTCTTAGTGTTATGAAATACATTTTCCCTGAACACTTTTTTCCCTCACTCCCACTAAATTGCCCTATTCACAGGTAGGTCTAAGTTGGCCGATAATTATGGCTGCTGTTAGGCAGGGGGAGGAGGGGGGGTTGATTACTCCCTGGGAGCCCCCTCCCCAAAGTCACGAAGAGGTGTCAATACAGTCAGACAGTCCCTACCTAACATTAAAATCTAACTCTTGTGTCGAGGGTGACAGACTTCTCTTCTCCTGCAGGCTGTTTCCAGGGTAACAAGAAGTAAAGGTGTGGGAGATCTGCCAAAGGCCTGCGCCAGGTAGACAGTCTGTCGGCCTTGCCCTGCTGTTTCCGTTGCTCCCTGTAGTTGGTCGGTCTCCAATCTCTCTAACTCGCCCCCACAATCATGTATGTCAACCTGCTCTTGCTCAGTTATGAGTTGGCCATACACGCTTATTTCACGGGCACAACGCCGCCCAGCTCCTTATTGTCCCTCTTTGTCGTGCCCCTCCTTGTGAAATGTCTTAATTTTCAGGAAGCTCGTATCGTGCTTTCCTAATGTACCTCAAGGCCATTTTGCCCTCGATATAATCCTTGGCGACTCGGATACCACCGAAAGCGCTCTCCTCAAGTGCTTTTGTTCTCGAATTGTAATTTTCAGTTATATTTAGTGCCTTGTGAATATCGAGAGACACTGATGATGCTACACAGTCATTCCAGATGAGGGTCTTTTGATAATTATACTGCACAGTAAAAATTAGCGGTGGGTGACGTTCTGCACAGTAGTGTGGTGACGGGGGGGGGGGGGGGCTGACAGTACCTATAAATGATGATAGGACTAACAATGGAAAATAATGCAGCTGATGCTATCCACAGGTCGAACACCTTCGTTTTTTCAGTACAGAGATCAGTGGGGCTGACAATACCTATAAATGATTAATAGGACTAAAAATGTTCATGGGAAATAATGCTGCTGATGCTATCCACAGGTCGAACACCTTCGTTTTTTAAACGAGCCCGTCAAGAAGCTGCTGATAGCTGGCCGGGTCTTTGCTGTCAAGGAGTTAGCTGATGACACTTACTACGCAAGGATAACATTCAAAGAGGGAAGACTGTGCCTTCATTCACTCATAAAGCAGCCTCTGCCCGCCTTTGCTGCTACACTCAAGGTAACTATTATACATTTCGTCTTGTGTAGGAGATAAATTTGTCTGGTAGGGCTCCAAAGCCTGGTCGATGACCGGGCCGCGGGGACGCTAAGCTCCGGAAGCACCTCAAGGTAAGGCCTCTACAGTAGCTTTCAAAGCTTGAGTACTGGTATTGCCAGAGCTTCGGAAACCACACTAGGCCTCTTAGATCTCCCAAGATGTACCAAGGGCTGGTACCAAAGCCCGAGGCGAGTGGAGCCCAGGGATCAGAGATATACCCAAGACAAAGACAGAAATGTGAAGAATCAAAGCAAACAACTGGTTGCAATAATATAACAACCTGTGGCAGCCATAGCGCACGATCATTGCTGCGAGCTAAACCTAACCATGGATGACCTGGAGAACTGGCTGCCTCGTCTACCTTGCCATCCAGGCATCTTGGTCTGGGCTCAAGTGTCCCTCCTGCTCACTGTGGTTTGGCATTCTATTCTTCCTTGCCAGCCTTTTCCCTTGGTTGGGGCTCTGTACAGCTTTGGCTCGTGCACTCCTGGGTCATGGTGGTGGGTGTGGCAGCTACGGCTGTTTCATCCACAGTTTTAATAGTATCCTTGAAGCCAACCTTTAATCTGGCAGAACCCCGGTTTTGTGGAAATGTCGAGAGGGCTTTCCCGTAAGTTGTTACAGGTCAGGTAACATGAAGTTAATTAGGGCATGGTACAGCCATGTCCTAATTAACTTCATATAGCACCCCCAGTACCATGAGGCTCTCTTTTTAATCTTTCATGTGGCACTGTATGAAAAGCTTTGCTAAAGTCTAGGTACACTTCACAATCATTACCACTATGAACTGCCTCAACTATGCTGGAATAAAATTACAGCAAATTTGTTAAACATGAATTGCGTTTTGTAAAACCATGTTGTGAATCATTTATTAATTCATGTTTTTCAAGACGAATGGTATTTGCAATTATTGATTCGAGTAACTTTCCCACAATAGACGTAAGGCTAATTGGCCAATAGTTTGACGCAAGTGATCAATCTCCTTTCTTAAAAATTGGTACCACATTAGCAACTTTTCACGATTCTGGCACTCTGCCTGACTGATTTATTAAATATAGTAGACAATGTCTCGCAAAGCTCCCCTTTACATTCTTTAAGCACCCTGGAAAACACTTCGTCTGGCCCTGGGGATTTGTTTGGCTTTAGTTTTACTAATTGTTTAATAACATCCTCCCTGGTAACGCCTAAACTAGTCAACCTATCCTCTTTCCCACCCACAGACTTGTTTGGCTGAAGGCATAATGTTAAGTTCCACTTTAGTAAATAGATAAAATATTTTTTTCAAAATACTACTTTATTATCAGTTATCTGACCTGCCTCAGTTTTTAATGGACCTATCCTTTCCCTAATCTTTGTTCGATATCAGAAAAACCCTTTAGGATTGGTCATTGCCAAGACAATCCACGACACTAATGATCAACAGAACATAAAATCTAACATGCACTAACTATACATAGAATTGCATTATATAATATAAATGAGAAACCAATTTTTAATAGTTAAAATTGAGGAGTGCGTCGAGTAGGGGGTTGACCGCAGTCTTAACGAGCCTGGCCTGAGGATGGGTTGCTAAAGAGCTCTTAGATTGATTAAGATTAATCCAACCAGGAGGTGGCACGGGCATGAATAGCCCGTAAGTAGATTTTTTTTTTTAGTGAATGTATACTGTGCTGAGGTCGCATTTAAATCGACAGGCTGCTATCTCGGGGGTAGATACTGCTTGACAGTGTTTGAGGGTGACAAACTGCTGGACACCTTTTTTTGACCAGATGAGTGGCAGTGTTGTTAGCTTCAGGGTAGTTACTGCAAGATTCAGGGGCTCTTAAAGCTTTTCTAAGGTTGTTGGTGGTTTGACATTCCAGGAGATAGTGAGATGGCTTTTCTGTGACAGTTTGGCAGAAGATGCATTCCCTCTGTCTGGGTTCACCAATCTCCCAGTTACATCTGTAACCTAGACGTAGTCAATATAACTGTACTGCTATATCCCTGTGGATTCCTTTTGGGATGTTTAACCTTTCTAACTTGGTGGCCTGAAGATACCATATTGAAAAGGGGCGAACCTTCTGCTATTTTCCGGTGTAGATGGGCTTTGTTGAGGTATGAGAGGTTTTTGGTGATGGTGTTTATGTACTCTAGGCTGGATTGGATTGTTTTATGCATCACTGGATGACGAGTTGCCAATTTAGCAATTTTATTGGCTTTATCATTTTCTGGGATTCCAACGTGTGATGGGATCCAGTTTAGAGTTATGCCAAGTCTTTTGCCTTTAGCGACTGCTCCAAGATAAAAAATGATGGAAATTATTTCCACGTTGTCTTTCCACTGCTTTTGTCCTAATATTTGAAGTGCAGCTTTTGAGTCTGTGTATGATTGCATTCTGAGTGTTTTGTGCAATAACATGTGCGATTGCTTGCTGTATGGCAAACAGCTCCGTTTGGGTTGATGATATTGGTCCTTCCAGTCTCTAATATGCCTGTACGCTGTCCGTACAAAGAGCAGCGCCAGCACTCTCATATTCTGTGTCAACCGATTCGTCTGTGAAGATGTGGGTGGGTCCTGCTACTGCAATGCTGCTCATTTGCTTTTCTATGATGCGCCTTAGGATTGTTTTATCATAGGCAGTCTTTTTTATTGGAAGGCCTTCTATTACTATTTTGAAGGTAGGCCCCTCCCACAGTGGAGAACAGGTGTTGTTTGGGCATGGTTGATCACCACCTCTATCAAGGCTCATGCTTTTTAATTGCTGTCTGGTTAGGACTTTTCCCGCTGTGGCAGCCCAAGAGTTTCCCTTGTTTTGGCGAAGTCCCACCACCATGGCCTGTCGTACCGGGACTGAATCGGGAAAAAACAATTATCTTACTGATAATTGCAGCTGTTATGTGCGTTATTCTTTCTTGTAGAGGGGCAAACCCGTTTCCAGTCTTAGTTTCAAGCCTGGTCCACGTAGGGGCTCCCAGGGCAGCTTTCATAGCATTGTTTTGGGCAATTAAAAGCTTTTTCCACTGTTGTGATAGACTTGAGTGCAGGTGCGGCATAGTCGATCACTGATCTAACTGCCTGTACATAATATGTGCGAAGGCCTTGCAGATTGGCTCCTCCAGAGAGGGACGAAGAGCTCCTCATTCCAACCCATGTTTACATCTTTCCCATGGAGTTGTTGTTGTAGTACCGTGGAGCTGCTGCTGCTGTACATGGAGCTGCTGCTGCTGTACATGGAGCTGCTGCTGCTGTTTTAGATTTAGCCGCTCAGAACGAAATGTCCATGTAGCACGGTCTTTAGTGAGCCCGTAATTGAGTTAGGTTATTCGCGATAACTTTGTTACTGTGATATTTGGGTCAACGTTTTAAATGGAGGCTTCTTTTCTCCCGTTCTTCTGCTTCTGTTTTAGCGCACTGGTTTTAGCAGTTTCAATAACATGGTGGCGGATATAGATGCAGTGTTCACTAGTGTCCCGTTCTTCAACTACTTTTCTAATCATTGTAGCCGCTGGATTTTGCATTTAATGCAGCTGCTCTCGTTGGATTAATGTCGAGTTTGATGTGCAGGGTTTCAGTGCTTCACATTCCTGTAAGTAATGCAATAGTGGCGTCTCTGCATCTGTTCCACAGATGACTCTTTAACTGTTGGATTTATTACCATGGTGCTGCTGCTGCTGTTTTTAGATTCGGATACTCGGAACAAAAAGATCTATGAGCCCATAAGTGGAGGCTCTCTGGATCCATTATCTGTATCAATAGCTGATACTAAAGATCTGGGGATGGATGGGGATCTTCATGGTGGATTTCAGCCTCGGAGGCTGGCTGTAACGGTTATGGAGTTGGTGGGTTAGTGTAGACTTCTAGGTCTTCCATTTCTTTTTGGCTGAGCCGTGCTGTCGTTGGAGTTTAGCGAGGTGGCCTCCATGAGGTCTTGTATCAAGTAGGTGTCGTTTTTGTGGTGCGGCGGCGGAGCTCCTATTAATTTTAAGATTTCTTCGAGTGAGGAGTCTGTAACATCCGTCGTTGATTTCGTCTCAAGTCTCGCAGCCTGAGGTAGGCTCAGGTGTTGTGGATTAGTGGTAGAAGCTATTTCAGGTGCGTTCGTGGTGCTGTTAGCATTTGTAGACAGCACGTCTGCTAGTGCGGCTGCTGAGAAGTGATGGTAGAAGTGTTGGGAGCTGGAGAGAGAGTTACCTTTGTGCCGCCCGGGTCATGGGTGGTTCTGGAGTCTGTGTTGAAATCGACCCCGTGGTCGTCCTGGTGGTAGTCTCCGGAGTGGTAGTGGAGTCAGACTTGCGCCAGGGGCTATGATGGGGGCCAGGCCATTTGTCAGGTATATGATGTTCAGTTCACTGGCAAAACGGTGGTTGTCCTGTCCGGTAAGCATTTCCGCTAGTCTAATAAGACTAGGAATAATGCCTGCACGTGATGCAAGGGGCTGCGAAGGATCCTGTGGAGCCTTTGGTCCCCATTATGAAGGCTGGGTCGCCTGTGGGTCACCAGGTTGGATGAGCCACTCTTTGGTAAGGCTGGAAAGTTTTCTAGTCGGTTGGTGGGAGCCGAGGTGGTGGGTTGAGCGCCTGGGGCTCTGGTCGCGGAGGTAGAAGGGTTGTTTCTCTTGGCTTCAACCTGGCCCTTGATGTTTTCCTGTCTGCGGGGGCAGCGGCAGGAAATGCGGGGCGATTGCCATCACAGAGCAAGCAGCGATGTACTGTTGCCTTGCATATGGAGTAGTGATGGTCTAGTGCTGCACTTCTGGACAGGGTGCTGACACTTGTTGGTGGGGTGGGAGAGCTCGTAGCACTTGAAGCACTGCTGGATCTCATGGTACCGTTCCGTTTTTACTTGGTGGGGTTGTATTTGTAAACTGAAGCAGTAGAAACCTTGTGCGGCAGCCTGGGTGGCCGCAGCTATGGTGATGAAAGTAATCTTCATTGAAGATTTGTCGGTACTGCAGAACTCTAGGTTAAATACACCCAGGCTCAGATTTTCGTCCTCGATATTGTCCATGATCTATTGTTGCGGTCGGTCAGCGATCCATTGGCTGGTCCTGCTGGTAAAAGCAGTTCTTTCAGCCAGGAACTGACGTGGGAAGTGAAGTTGTAGGTGGTGCTCCTTGTGAAGTATCGCATCGTTGGTAAAGTTTCTCTATCTCTTCCTCACATGAAAAGAAGAGCACGATATCATTACCTTCCCGACTAATGTCAGTGGGTGTGATGCCGGTAACGTCCTTCAGGACCTTAAGAATATCACTTTTCCAGAAAGCATGACCGACTAGGGGGTGGTAGCTCTAACCTTCAGACGTTTGGATCGTATTGTGTCCACACCCTCAACGGGTCGCAGTGTGAATGTGGACTGGTGGAATAATAGTAATGGTACCATGGAGGAGGATGATAGATTTAGCTACTCGGAACAAGTTCCAAGTAATACGGGCTATGGTGAACCCGTAGTGGACTTACCTGGCACAGGAGCGGTGCTGTGTGTGGGTACCATGGGGCTTTTGTCGTTTCAGATTTAGCTACTCAAAACGAAGTGTCCATGTAGCACGGGCTATGGTGAGCCCGTAAACCATGGAGCTTTCAGAGTTATGTATATGAGACTCGTGAGTGAGGTGAACGGATAATCAGAACCCTGGGTGACCTGGGTGGTATACTGGTGGCGGTAGTGAATCACGGTTTGGGTAGTTAGTCCGCCGCAATGGTGGTTTGCCTTGGTTTACCTCCGGATTGCTGCATTTCGGTGAACAGTTTTGAGTACACTTTCTTGTGGGTATTTTCTTTGTGTAGATATCAGCTCTCTAGGCTTCCCCTTGCCTCATGACGATGAGCTACATTCTGGTCTTGTCTCAGCAGGTCAGGACATTTCTGGGAGGTTTGGTTCAGTTGTTTTAGTGACCTGTCGGTACCTGTACGCAATCTCGGCTACTAAGAGGCACACAAGGAAAAAGGTTTTTCATTACATTCAACACATGATTTCAAGTTTAGGCATCTAGGCATGTCATAAAATTTTAGTAATTCATTGATTTTAATTAAGTTATTTTTAAAATTGTGCGTTAAAATTGTAAAATTATAATCCATGATTTTACATACAGCACGGATACGTTCTGGACCTTCTGAACCGCTCCTCCACCGTGGCCTTTCTTAACCTGGGATGTAACGGGTCACCAATAGGACAGGTTGACATACGGGTGAACCATAACACCGGACTGGCCAGACAGTTTATATTTTTGTGCACTGGCCAGCAGGGCAAAACTTACTTAAACACAAATCTTCTAAGGTTAGGCAGCCATTTTGACGGGGGAAAATTTGTCGTGGGTGGCGACTATGAGTGGAATGATGGATCTGGAGGACACTCAGTACTGTTCAACCTGAAGGGTGAATACGGGAAATTACACGAAGTAGGAGCTGTTTCGTCACGGTTTTGGCCCGACCAAGAACATTGCGCTCAGTTTTGCATCGGTGTTACTGAAGGTTATCACAATGAATCTGACGGCATATTTGGTTATGTGGAGAGGGGTATGGGTGTGGTGATGGCAGCAGCCGAGGCCACATACATGCCTAAGGTGACTGTCATGGACTGTGGTGTTGTGTTGCCACTGTAGGTCTCTGTCCCACTTATCTTCACTATCAAATAAATGCAATGTCACTAACCTTTATTTGAAACAATTAATGCTGTAAATTTAGATATAAAAATAATAGTTTTTGGCTTGGTGTACGTTAGGCCTGTGTATGTATACACACGAAACCTGTCGATGTATACATGTATAGCCTGTGTGGGAGCGGGAGTCTAGACATGAAAGGTGAGGGCTTAATGCTTTGTGTTTGGCATTTCAATTTAGTTTACTCAATGTGAGGAATAACTATTTACACAATAAGAAAGGTGATTCAGTAGTGTATAGGCCTACAATGTATTACGTACAACTATTGTCTGGTAATGTCATCCAAAAAGATTCATACTGAGAAATGCCAAATTGTTTTTTTTTTTTAAGGTCTAGATTAATTCCGAAGTAAATGTAAATAAATAAATATATAACAATTTACAGCCTTTGTAAGACAACCGGGTGATGACTATTGATCAACATGAGACGATAACCACACTTCAAGGGTTAATTATCTTCATGTCCTGTCATCACCCTCTGTGTCGTCATAGATTCCATATCCCCAGTCTTTACTGTCAATATCACCCATGTCACCATAATATTGGTACCTCGAGTGCTGTAATCATTACTTGTGTGTCTTCAGTTGTCAATTACTCAGTCACATTTGCTGTTAGTCATTCATACATTTCCATCAGTCGCCACCACCTCAATATCACCATGCCTTTCTATTTTCGCATCTAACCATCACCTTCCTGCCAGTTGAGACCCAGAATTGGGTTCATTAATGACCATATTGAGTAATAAAATACTAAAGTCCCTAGAATATCTTATGGGCAAGTTGCATTCTGTATACTTTAAACATTTTTTGTCATGATGCAATCTCATTATCCAAAATGCTAACTGTATAGATTCTAGTAAATGTGTAAGACACTCGACATTTAATTGTTGACCCATTTGGTATTGACTGCACCTGCAAGAATCTATCACGTCTCAGTGTGGTGGTGATTACTCGGGTCGAGCCACCCCTCGCTGGTGCTACCAAACAGCAACACTAATTTATGCTAACCACATCCAGACGCAGAGCCGTGTAGTGAGCACAGTGATCCCTACTGTCTGCCTGTCACGTCGCTCTTGTATTGAGATTCAACCTAAATGAACAGTTTAACTTAATACCAGTTCGATATTAAGTTTGTAATAATTTGGAAGAGCTTTAATTGACAGCAAAGTAATTTAGGTTTATGTAAAGTGAAGATTGTCAACATGGGTTTATTTACACCTATAAACATTCAAATGGAAATTAACTGAATTGGCATTACATTACTTTAAATATTTAATGTAAATGATTTAAGTACAAACAGATCTAGACCTTAGAGGTCCCCAAAAGGTGGACAGTAAAAACTGTAGCAGTCAACAATATACTTTATATTTGAAATGTTACAATATGATGAGACGTCATTGAGCTACTGTGGTGTAATCTGGTCAGGCTAGAGGCAGAGTTTGTAGTGTGAGAAGACTTGGGTCGAGGCTGGTCATAGGCATTACTCGGGACTGAGCTATGATACTGACTGAACTAGGTCAGCCTTGCTTAGTTCAGTTATATACCCCTTAGTACACGTATACTAGTACATGTACTCACTAGTATTTATTTATTTATTTGTTTGGATCTATTGTTGTCAAACTACTTAGTCGTTAAGTTATTTGGTGCTATTGTATACTAAAGGTGCTATTGTATACTAATTTGGTGCTATTGTATACTATTGTATATCAGTCGGTGGCTGATATGTAATTCTGGCTTTGTGTTAAGTTATATTTTCATACATTTTTATAAAATAAAAATATATATTTTGCAGTGTAATTATTAACCTCTGAGGCCAATTCAATACAAGTGAATTTCCTGTTTGACTATTATCATTATTTCCCCCATGCTAATACGAATGTTTTCTTGATTCAGTCGGAGGAGGAGATGCCACACGAAACAAAGGATGATAATGTGAAGCGCCGAAATATCATACTTTGACACCATTGATTTAATTATATGCGTTCAGTCCCTAGTTTACCTTCAGCATCAGTAAGCTGACGCTCTCGCCTCTGAGGCTGACGCTCTCGCCTCTGAGGCTGACGCTCTCGCCTCTGAGGCTGACGCTCTCGCCGCTGAGCCAGACGCTCTCGCCTCTGAGGCTGACGCTCTCGCCTCTGAGGCTGACGCTCTCGCCTCTGAGGCTGACGCTCTCGCCTCTGAGGCTGACGCTCTCGCCTCTGAGGCTGACGCTCTCGCCTCTGAGGCTGACGCTCTCGCCTCTGAGGCTGACGCTCTCGCCTCTGAGGCTGACGCTCTCGCCTCTGAGGCTGACGCTCTCGCCTCTGAGGCTGACGCTCTCGCCTCTGAGGCTGACGCTCTCGCCTCTGAGGCTGACGCTCTCGCCTCTGAGGCTGACGCGCTCGCCTCTGAGGCTGACGCTCTCGCCTCTGAGGCTGACGCGCTCGCCTCTGAGGCTGACGCGCTCGCCTCTGAGGCTGACGCGCTCGCCTCTGAGGCTGACGCGCTCGCCTCTGAGGCTGACGCGCTCGCCTCTGAGGCTGACGCGCTCGCCTCTGAGGCTGACGCGCTCGCCTCTGAGGCTGACGCGCTCGCCTCTGAGGCTGACGCGCTCGCCTCTGAGGCTGACGCGCTCGCCTCTGAGGCTGACGCGCTCGCCTCTGAGGCTGACGCGCTCGCCTCTGAGGCTGACGCGCTCGCCTCTGAGGCTGACGCTCTCGCCTCTGAGGCTGACGCGCTCGCCTCTGAGGCTGCCTCTCGCATTCCTGTGGCAATTTTCCGCCCAATGGAAATTTATTTTCAGTTGCTTGCAGTATGCATGGTGATGGCAAGAAAGATGCGTTTTCTATAAAAAAGGCAAGTTATGGTGTAGATAATACAATAATTATCATAGAAATTTGTGTATAGTTCTAATAACAAATTATGCTTGTAATTTAATGTTACTGGTTTGTGTTTCATATTTAGAGTTTAGGCTCGGTGTCAACTGGGGATGTCGGCTGAGCTGACTGGTTCTTTCCCAGCTCACCGCGTTCAGGTTCCAACCCGTCCTCGACTCAAGTCCATTACATCCAGCAGTCGACCCCACAGACGCATTCATAAATGTTCACACGCTGTTCATTCAAAACTGGGATTTTCTCAAATATATATTAATAATAGCATATTGTGCATATATAGGCATATTTTAGGTTAGGTGTTTAGGTTCTGTTGGCGATTTGAATTTGTAGTACGTGGGTGAAGCATTTATAGCGTTGTGGTTTGAACAAAATTCGTCATTGAAGCACTTGTTCCGGAAGTGATCGAACGTCAACAGTCATGTCTTGTGTAAACCATTTTTCATTCATAAACGGAGTTTTGCAGGTGCATGGAATCACTTTTGGGTCTTTGGAGGATGGGGTGCAGGTTCCTTGTGGAAGTCCCAGTTGGTCAAGTTCAAACTTCAGACTTAGCTGGGTGTAGTAAGGGACTCTTTTTAAGTTGGCTTCACTTTCCCTTTATGCGATGGACTTGCTTTGCCTGAGGCTTTGTCACCGTCTGGTGTTGGATTGGTGGGGGTGATTGCTTCTTTTTCCTGTCCTGTGGAGCTAAAGGCTTCGAGAAACTCGCCTTTTGGGTTCTTGGTTTGGTTATCTGCGAGGTTCACATGTGATGCGTGTCTAACGTTCTCACGGATGGGTTTGCAACTGCCTCCCCTCCGTGGTGTCGCCTTGGCGTTGTGAGGGGCTCACATACACCTCCCTGGGACTGGTGAGGGTTGCCTTCGCCCCCCCCCCTCTCCTGCCCCTCTTTGGGTGTTGTACGTGCAGAAGGGCACCATGTAGGGCCCTTGTGAGTCACTGTACCGCCCGCTGGAAGGATCGCCCATGAGGAGGTTGCCCCAAGTGGATGGCTGGGTGTCCAGGCCGGGGCGCAAGGGAGAATGAGGTCTTTGCACCAGTGTGGGAGAATGGACGAAGCAGTAGGACTCACCCTGTTAAAAAGAGGAAGCACCGCTGGGGACGATGCACTGGCCCGTGCTTGGCCCGTGCTTGGCCCGTACTACACTGGCCCGTGCTTGGCCTCTCTGGCTGCCCTGGTAGGTGGTATCCCTTGGTTCCAGGCCCCAGACTTTTTAAAATTAATGAAAAACGAAACGACCTCTCTTACCCAGGCTCATGGGGGTGTGGGACCAGGCCCCTGAGTTGGACTGTGATGGAAGACCGGGCTCTGTAGCCCCCGCTACATTGGTCCCAGACCAGACTACTCCCCTCCCCCCCACCCGCTTCCTTCCCTCCTCTGTGGTAGGATCGAGTCCCAAGCTCCCAGTGGTGACCACCTTGTCCCCTGGCACGGCTCCGTTTCTTATTGTGACTACTGTGCCTTTTAACCCCCCTCTCTGGGGGTTCTCGACGGGGTCCCCGCCACAGCCGCACTTGCACGATTCCTTCCCATACTAATACGTACAACGTCTTGTTTGGTCATGCTTCGTGATCTAAATACGGTGATCTCAACCATCTGGATTCTTCTCCTGACGATTTCTCCCTCCATAAACACCTTGTTGATTCAGTAGATGCCTGTGACTTTTAACCCCACCAATTACTGTAAGAGTGTCATTGCTGCTGCTCCTCGGGATGCAGCTACTCACTTAGCCACTTTGTCCTGCATTGGGGAGACCCCTGTTCGGGTCTACAAAAATGCTCGGTTAAATGCCAGTGTTCTGTTCCTCCCACACCATGTTGCAACCGGTGTTAGGGACCTCAAAGACTGCCATGAGGATATTAAACATATCCTCGAACCCCAAGGCCATTCTGTCCTCCGGGTGGACATGTTCACTCGACCTCCTCGTGGTCGTCGCCACCAACCCCTTCGAGTTGTGAAAATCGCCTCTGATAGTAGGACCATTCCGCCCTCTATAATTCCTGCTGGTGCCAGATGCTCCGTTCATGAGCACATAATCTCTCCTAGACTTTGCAATCAGTGCTGGAAGTTTGGGCATGGCGCTCTCAAATGCACAAGTATGGATATTGTGTTGGGGACGAAGGTCACTCTAAGACAAAGTGCTCTTCCCAGGCTCGCTGCCCGAATCGCGGTGAGGCCCACCCTACCTTCCTCCGTGTGTGTATCCACTTCAAACTTGAGGAAGCCGTCCTCAACCTTAAACACCGGGATCATTTGTCTTTTCCTGAAGCGAGACGCAAAGTCGGCTGTCTCAACCCTTTCACTAGCGTATCTTATGCTCGCGTATTGCGTTTTATCTCTCCTCGTCCTTTCCCACCATATTCTGTCTCGACCGTTTCCAGGCTTTACACCCAGACACGCCCACCGCCTCCTTCCCTGTTCCTTTACGTTCTGTCCCGACGGGTCCCCCCTCTTGGTTCTCCATCTGGAGTTCCCCTCCTTTCTACCCAGTCTGCCATGTCTCCTATGTCTCCTGTGTCTTCTCTCCCCTCCCCCCCCCCCGACCCTTCTTCTCCTAGTCTCTTGGCCCTCCACGCCACCTGTCTGTCCTGGCTGTTGTCCATCATCCTCCCAGCAATCTTCATGTTGTTCACACCCGTTCTTTTTCACCTATTAAGACAAGAGTGTCTGTCGCCCAGTACGTTGTTGCTGGAACACCTGTCTCTTTGAGTCAGAAACGTAAGCCTGGCTCCTCTCCTTCCTCCTCCCCGGCGGGTAAGAAGGCAGTGCTTTCTTCCTCGTCCCCCCCTCTCCACCTCTGACTCTATCGCTCAGTCCCATCCCATTTCGGTGGTTGAGACCCCTGTCCAATGTTGTTATTGTTAAAGATTCGCTACTTGGAACAAAAAGTTCCAAGTAGCACGGACTATGGCGAGCCCGTAGTGGACTTACCTGACACAGACGAGGGACTGCCCCCTGTCCCAGTTATGGAGGTTTCTTTAGCCCCCGATTCCCTCTCGATTGTTTCCTTTGCTGGGGTGCGCTCCCCGCTTTCTGTCCCCCCCCCCTGTCGTCCTTCTGTCTTTGATCGCTCCCTCACGGTTGTCTCCTGGACCCTACCCATCCGCCTCTGGTCTGTCCTCCTCCTCCCTTCCCTCTATCCTTACTCAGTTTACCCCATGCCTCCTAACCCTGATTTCGCTGACCCTGATCCTGAGCTTATTTAATATGAAGTGTTCTTTACCTTTGTTTCTTCATTGTTCTCTATTGCTGTCCCTTCTCTTTTTGTCAATGTCTATTCTTCAATGGATTTCGTGGATTTGATGCCAACATCCATGAACTCCACATTCTGATTACACAATTTTCACCACTTTGTGTATGTCTCCAGAGGCTGATGTTTGGTGCTCATCCTGGTCACTTTCGTGGTTATTCCTTTCTCCCCCCCCACCAGCTTTTACTGGAGCCCATAACTCCACTGCTCTCTGCAGTAGAGATGCTTCGCCATCTCCCATGCACGTCTCAGTACTTATTGAATCTGTATAACCAGGTCTGGGAGTCGTCGTCAGTCCCCGAGGAGTGGCTCGATGACGTTATACTCCCTATTCGGAAACTGGGGCCTCTTGGGACATCCCCTAAGGACTTCCACCCTATTGCCCTCACGAATTGTGTCTGCAAACTCTCTTGAACGTATGGTCAATGTTCGTCTGATGTGGATCTTGGAACACTATCACCACCTCTCCCCCTTCTCAATTTGGTTTTCGCAAGTGCCTTAGCACGACTGATGTCTTGGTGAACTTAGAGGTCTATATTCGTACCGCTTTTGCTGCAAAGATCTCCATTGTTGCTGTTCTTTTTGACCTGGAAAAGGCTTACAACACCACCTGGAGATACCATATTCTGTCCCAACTTCGTTGGCCTTCATGATAATCGCCCTCTCTTCCTCCAAAACTTCCTCTCTTCTCGTTCCTTTATAGTGAGTCTTGGTGCCACACACTCTGCCTCTTTTTGGCAATTACGAAGGTGTACCTCAAGGTAATGTTCTGAGAACTACTTTTTTTCTGGTTGCCCCTAATGGTCTTCTTTCCTCCCTTCCTTCTGGCATCTTCTCCGCTCTCTATGTCGACGATCTTACCCTGTGCTGTCGAGGTGATGATTCGCCTCTCCTTCAACGGCGGCTTCAACTTGCGATCGATGCCGTGTCGTCTTGGGCCATCAATCATGGCTTCAAGTTCTCTGCAACTTAGACTTGTGCCATGGCTTTTACCCAGAAGCCTGTCGTTCTTCGTCCTTCTTTGTCGCTTTATGGTCATCCCCTTGTGTACGAAGATTCTGCTAAGCTTTTGGGGTTAATCTTTGACACTCGTTTGTCTTGGTGACGCCATATCTCTTACTTCCGAGTTGAATGCTCTAAGGCCCTTAACCTTTTTACGGTTTTGTCCCATACTTCTTGGGGAGCGCATAGGCGCATGCTCCTCACTTTACATTCCTCTTTCGTACTGTCTAAACGCGATTATGATTGCCCTTCTTACTCATCATCATCTACTCTTCGCCGTCTTGATCCTTTGCACCATACTGGGTTGGGCTTCAGCTCTGGTGCCTTTGGTTTGACTTCTACCCCTCAGCTTGTATGTTGACACTGGCTTCCTGTGTCTCCAGGACCGCCGTGATCGCAATTGTCTTCGCTACCTTGTGTAGTCCTTACAACACCCCTCACACTCGCCTATGTTGTGCTTTGACTTTTACCCCTCCTGTAGTTCCTGTTCCCCTTCACCACCTCCCTCTTTCTGTCTGGTTGTCTTGCCTGCAAAATTCTTTCGGTTAGTATTACCAATATTTCTCCTCGTGTTGTTCAGTCCTTGCCCCCGTGGAGGGTCCCCCTTCCTAAATTTTGTAAATCCCTGACGCACATCGCTAAATCTTTTACCCCTCCTAAAGTTCTGAAAAGCCTTTTCCTTGAGCACTTTTCTTCACTCCCGCTCCATTTTCATTCAACGATGGGTCTAAGGTTGCAGGCGGTGTAGGCTACTCTCTTGTATTTCCCTGACCACACCTGTACATGTCGCCTGCCTCCAGAGACTAGCATCTTCACGGCAGAACTATGCTATTCTTTATGCTCTTCGTCTATTGCTTTCTCGCTGTCACTCCTCCTTTGTTGTTGTAGTTGACTCTCGTAGTGCTCTCATGGCTCTGGAGTACTTTAATCCAGTCCATCCGGTGGTAGTCGAGATTCAACATTGGTTGTTTCTTATCCCCAGTAGATTTAAGACAGTAGAGTTTTGCTGGGTTCCCAGCCATATTGGCCTGTCTTTTAATGAGCGTGCGGACGCTGCCATTAAGGAAACTATCTGCATTTGTTCCATCTCCCGTAAAGGTATTCTTTATTTCGACTTTTACCCAGTAAATCATTCCTCCATTCTTGCCCGTTGACAGGGTTGTTGATCTTCTCTTACTGGTAACAAACTGCCCACTCTAGTGGTGTGTCCCTGTGGCCTTCCTCCTACCACCGTAACCGGCGGCGCCAACGGCTCTGGCAAGGATGCGTATCGGCCATACACGCTTAACTCGGGGACACTTCATGAAGCGCCAGTCTGTATAATCGGATCTAGGAGTCGTCATCAGTCGATGAGAACTGGCTCGATGCTGTTGTCCTCCCTGTTCGGAAACCAGGGTCTCTCAGGACATCCCCTAAGGACCTCCGCCCTATTGCCCTCACGAGTTGTGTCTGCAAGCTCTTTGAACCTATGGTTAACGTTCGTCTGAAGTGGTTCTTAGAACACTATCACTACTTCTCCCCTTCTCAATTAGGTTTTCACAAGTGCCGCAGCACAACAGATGTCCTTGTGAACTTGGAGGTCTGTATTCGTACTGCTTTTGCCGCGAAGACCTCCGTTGTTGCTGTCCGTTTTGACCTGGAAAAGGTTAACGACACTACCTGGCGGAATCATATTCTGTCCCAACTTCATTCTTTTGGCCTTCGTAGGAATCTCCCTCTTTTCCCCAAAGTTTCCTCTCTCGTCGTTCCTTTGGAGTGAGGCTTGGTACCACTCTCTTCCCCTTTTCGGCAATACGAGGGTGTACCCCAAGGTAGTCTTTTGAGCAATACTCTTTTTCTGGTTGCCCTTAATAGTCTTCTTTCCTCCCTTCCTTCTGGCATCTTCTCCGCTCTCTATGTCGACGATCTTACCCTTTGCTGTCGGGGTGATGATTCGCCTCTCCTTCAACGGCGGCTTCAACTTGCAATTGATGCCGTGTCGTCTTGGGCCACCGATCATGGCTTCAAGTTCTCTACGTCTAAGACTTGTGCTATAACCTTTACTCGGAAGCATGTCGTTCTTCGTCCCTCTTTGTCACTTTATGATCGTCCCCTTGAGTACAGGGATTCCACTAAGATTTTGGGGTTAATCTTTGACACTCATTTATCTTGGTCACCCCCATATCTCTTATCTCCGAGTTGAATGCTCTAAGGCCCTTACCCTCCTTAACATTTTGTCCCGTACTTCTTGGGGAACGAATAGGCGCACACTCCTCTCTTTACATTCGCCTTTCGTCCTGTCTAAACTTGATTATGGTGGCCCTGCTTACTCGTCTGCTTCTCCTTCTACTCTTCGCCGTCTTGATGCTTTGTACCATACGCGCCTCATCTGGGTGCCTCATCTCTGGGTTGCGCCTCATATCTGGTGTTTTTCGTTCGACTCCCACCCACAGCTTGTATGTTGACACTGGCTTCCTATCATTCCAGGACCGCCGTGATCGCTACTGTCGTCGCTATCTTGTGCGGTCCTTACAACACACTCACTCTCGCCTCTGTCGAGCTTAGACTTTTACCCCACCTGTAGTTCTCGTTCCTCTTCGCCACCTCCCTCTTTCTGTCCGGCTATCTCGCTTACAGGATTCTCTTTCAGTTCGTATTTCTAATATTTCTCCTCGTATTGTTCCTTCCTTGCCGCCTGTGGAGAGTCCTCTCTTCCAAAATTTTGAACATCCTTGACCCGCATCATTAAAGCTTTTACCCCTCCTACAGTTCTGAAACGCCTTTTCCTTGAGCACTTTTCTTCACACTCCCGTTCCGTTTCCATCTTCAACGATGGATCTCAGTCTGCGAACAGTATAGGCTACTCTGTTGTTTTTCCTGACCGCACTTATGCGTGTCGCCTCCCTTCGGAGACTAGCATCTTCACAGCGGAACGTTATGCTATTCTCTCAGCTCTCCGTTTCCTGTTTTCTCGTTGTCAATCCTCCTTTGTGGTTGTAGTTGACTCTCGCAGTGCCCTCAT